CCTCCACAACTAGACTGAAGAACAAAAGGACAGCAACTTGTCTGTTCCCCTTCCCCTAATTCCCCAGCACTGTTCCCATCCCCCAATTGCCCAATAAAAATCTAAAAAAAAAAAAAAAGACAGTGATTATCATTAGACTAAAAGAAAAACCCAGCCCAACCCAGCCGTGCGCTGCTTGCATGACACACACGTGAAGCTGAAGGTCACAAATGGGACGTGAGGGATGAAGGACGTACAAAGCAGACACTAACCCCAGCGAGGCTGTGTGGCCCCTTTAAAGCAGGATTTAAGAGACAAAGCATTACGAAGACACAGGCAGACACTTCCGTGATGAGAGGCAAGACCTCCAGAAAGCCAGTAATTCTGAGTTTGGACGCACAGTCTGAGGACACATAAACAAGACATGACAGAGCCCCAGACGAATAACCTCATCCCAGCACTGTCAATACTGATGGGAGAGTGAAAAAGGTAAGGATGCAGACAGCCCGGAAAACACACTTAGCCACTGAAATCTGTGCGCACGCAGGACGCAGCACCCGTGCTGTTAGATCGCACATGAACATTTGTAAGAAGACCCTGGCGAGCCTGAGACAGGTCCCAGGAACGCAATCACATATCCTCTGACCACAGCGAATTTAAGCTAAAAATCAGTTACAAAAAGATAAAGAGAAAATCCCCATTTATTTGGAAACGAAGAAACAAACCCCTTCTACACGAGGCAACCAACCTACATCGTGAAGGCTGGTCATCACCCCATCCTAACCTATCACGGCAGCAGGCCCCCCACCTGCACAGAAAGGGCCCTGGGCACACGGGCGCGGAGGGCACGCACGTACCTGGCGCCGGAGCGGAACTCCTTCATGATGGACTCGCGCTCCTTCTGGGGCATGTCCCCGTGCATTGACGACACGGTGAAGTTGGCTTCTCTCATCTTCTCCGTCAGCCAGTCGACCTGCAAATCAAGCCGCAAGAAGCTGCTAGAAGCTCCTAAACCAAGCAGAGGTGGTGCTCGGGACTGGTTTCAGTTATCTGCAGCACCGATGTGAGCACTCGTGAAGCGAGTTTCCTAATCCTTTCTGGATGTGTAAAAAACGTCGCTCTGCCCACAAGAGCGCAGCAAAGATCCTCCTAAATCATGTTCCCTGTAAATCTCTCCAGGGAAAACCCCATCTCACTATTCTCATTTGAAATTTAAATGTGAATGTTTTTTGGAACGTGGCCCAACACCTCCTCCTTTTTCAAGGGGCTTGGCGGGGGTGGGCACAGGGCAGGTGGCTGCTGGAGGTTCTCAGCTCTGCCTGTACCCAGACCGGCGACACTGGGGACTATGCGACCACCCGGCCACCTAAACCCAGTGACACCTGGCATTAACACTTCTGTACAGTGTCGTGGACATGTGCGTTTGTTCACATGTCGTCCATGGTGGCCAAAGGGCAGAGGTGAGTGGGTGTCACAGAGGCCGTGTGCCCACAGAGCCGAAAGCATGGACTTCCGGCCCGGCACAGCCATGTCTGACCCAAGTTGTGGGGAGAGCCGATGTCCGTGTCTCACTATGCAGATTAAAAAGCCGAATAGCCGCGCACCTTCCTTTTGGTGTTGCAGAAGATGACGGCCTGCGTGATGGTCAGCGTGTCGTAGAGATCGCACAACGTGTCAAACTTCCACTCTTCTCTTTCCACCGCCACAAAGAACTGCTTGATGCCTTCCAGAGTCAACTCATCACTAGAGGACAGACACAAATCCCGTTACCCTTCGTCCAACCAAGACTGGAGGGTGTGCGCAGGCCAGGCAGCCCCACCAGGCTGGCCGGTGAGCCTGTCCGCCCCTCATGCCAGGCCACGTCCTCCCAGAAGTCACTTCTACCTCACGAGGCCCAAGTTCTGGTCAGTCTGCACCTTTAACGGCTGCCGCCCTGTATGTGGCTCTAAATACAACAGTCCGTTGTCCAACAGCACATTCACTTTACTGTGAAGACGCTGATGAACAAACACCGTCAGATGATTTTCACATCAGGAAATACTGGGCCTTAGGCTGGCTCCCCAGACAAGCAGCTCAGAATTCTCGCGTTTTGAAACCCGGCCTGTGTCGCACGTTTTGGTCCCTACCGTTTCACTAGGATGCGGATGGGGTCGGTCATGAACTTGTTGGTCATCTCCAGGATTTCGTGAGGCAGCGTGGCGCTGATGAGCACCACCTGCGTGGCTGGGGGCAGGTACCTATACACGTCGTAAATCTGCTCTTTGAAACCTGGGGAGAGGGGCGAGACACGGGAAAGAATAAGGCTGTGCAGGCTAAAGAGAGGGGGGCCGTCCCACGCTCACATCTGGTTAGATGTGGAGTTGTGGCTGAGGTGGCGAGCTCACAAGGGGCCTTTTCCACACTGCCGACCGACCCCATGCATTCCCGCTCCTCTGCCCGCCCCGCGGGCTCTGGGGGTCCTCACCCCAAGAGTCCTGGATGCCAACAGCTACAAGCAAGACACCCGAGCCCTGAGTTGCCCACAACTTGGGCGCCTGCACATAGTCTCGACTGAGTGCCAGCTGCTGGTGCCCTCTGAGGATCTGCGTCCTGTGGCCTGATCTGCCGCATTTTAAGAAAATCCAGAGATCTGGATTTTTTACCAAAAAAACTCCCAATTAAAAAAAAAAAATCTCCCAGAAATATCAGATCACTATGTTGTACACCTGAAACTAACATGTTATATCAATTACACCTCAATAAAAAATCTCCCAGTTAAACAGGCAACTCATTTACATCATCTGGGGCAGGCTGAACAAAACAGCCTAAATAACTAAAAGAATGCCAGGTTACTTAAACGATGGGTCACGTGTAAACAGAACGCCCTGCTGCCATGAACACGGCTCACTGGATACCACCTCCACCCCCTCAACCACCCATGCGCCTCAGCTCGGCTGCTCGCCTGTGTCACCTGTGCCAACCACCGCACACAAAGAGCGATGCCCTGTTTGGGCTGAAATGCTGCCGTACAAACCCCGACCATAAAAAGACCACAGTGCGAGCTTTGTGTTCCTACTGCCCCCAAGGCACAACTGTTCCCCATAAAGAAAACATTATTTAATGTTCAGAACACTTTCATTAGCTCCATGTTTCAATGTTACACTGTGAAAACTTAAGAATTGTTTTTTTGGTAGAAAGTTAATTTGTAAACGCGTACCTTTATTCAACATTTCATCAGCCTCGTCCAAAACCAACATCTTGATAGCACGTGTCCTCAAACTTCTGCGACGAATCATGTCTACAAAATTTGAGTTTGAAATGATTAGACTTCACGCTATGAGGAAAGAACTAGCCACTTAAACCGGTTTCCACAGCGTTTTCGAGACCTTCCCTCCACTTTCTAAATACAAGTCATGAGGATGCAGCAGCCTCCACGCAGCGGCCGGCACCAAGGACGTCCTGGCCACGTGAGCACATCTCACACACACTACCGCTTGCAGCGCAACTTTCACAGACAAAGCGCTCACCAAAGACACGTCCAGGCGTGCCAGCGACCACGTGCTGCCCGTAGTCCAGCTTCCGGATGTCTTCCCCCACGTTGGTGCCCCCGATGCAGGCATGGCACTGGACGTTCATGTAGTCACCCAGCGCGAGCAGGCCCTGGATTAAAACACAGAGTCACGGCCACAGCCTCTGTTAAGGCCACTGTGAAGTCAAAAACATTTGCGTTTCCCGAAAACGAAGGTCACTTCTGTTCCGATGTAAGATTCTAGCAAGCATTATGCACGCCGGTAGTTACACCCTGAAGCTAAGGAGCCCCGTTCTCCTCACACTCTTCTCTGCACCAAGAGGAAGGCAGTTTTAAAGGTTCCCTAGTATCCCAAAGCGATACATGATGACAAAAAGTACGGAAAACTCATAATCCTGTCCACCCACAGTATTAACATCTTAATGTAAAGCCTTCCAAAGTGTTTATAATACATACAAAATAGTTACAATTATTTTTTATTAAAATGGTTTTTTTTTGGTTGGAAAAAAATTACAATTCTAAGACTGCAAAAAACTATTGAAATCACATCAGCTACACTAAAAATGACTTCATACAAACCAGCGACTCATGTATAATGATTTATGGCAAACTGTTAGGCACCAGGGAAAACAATTTGAGGGCACAGGAAACCAGGGCTCGATGAAGCCCCTCAGCGCCCTTTCCGACTGGACTCTAGAGCACACACGACGCTGCCCCCGGGACCGGCTCACCTTCTGGATCTGCACGGCCAACTCTCTCGTTGGGGCCAAGATCAAAGCCTGGGTTTCACGAACCTGGTAAAACAATTTGTCAGAAAACAAAGACTCCTCAGTATTTTCAAGGCAGACGATGCTGAGACTCAGACCTGTTTTCGGTATTATCACATGTTAACCACACAGCTGATTTCTAACAGAGCTAAACGAAAGTTAATGTTCCGGAAACCACAAGTCCAGCCATAATGGGGTGGATTGGTCAGCATTTTGGTTTGCAGACAAGCATTTCCACTAGTTTAAAAAACCTCACAGTTTAAGTAAAAAGGAATTTATGACGTGTTAATAAACTCAGATATTAGTGTGCAATTTTCTCTTTAAAAAGGTGCTGAGTCAGTACAACCAGAGACGTATAAAAACTGCACTTTTTGAGCACTGCAGTGACAGGGGAAAGGAAGTGTTTCCTAAGCGTAGGCCAAGCAGAGATCACCTGAATGTCCAAACACTGGAGGACGGAAATACTGAAGGTGGCAGTCTTGCCGGTGCCAGACTGAGACCTGTTAGGAAAACACAGACGAGTGGGAATTACAACCGAGGGCCACATGCCACTGTCCCCACTCACATGACGCCGCCACAGAGTTCTCCGAGGGGTGGGCGCATGGGGCAGCTTCTTCCAAACAGGTGCCCCCACCCCGCCCCAAACAGACTAACAACATTGTAACTGCAATCCTAACTGCAAGAGGGTCAGACTCAGCAGTGTCACAGCTTTTAAATCACAGGGGACGACGACAGTGGCTGTGGCTTTTGCATCGGGGTGATGAAACTGCAAAATCTGGAACTCCAGCAGGTGCTCCAGGTGGCAGAAAAAAAGAGCTCCCCTTCCTATAAATATCATTTGGGACCGAAACCATCCTCCCATTTCTCTCTTTTCTTTTTTGTGGTAAATGCGTCTTTAAAAACGAGGCAAATTGGGAATAAAGCTATTGAAAGAATATTGTATACAATGCCACATGCCAACTGATAGGTATGCAAAGGTGGCACAAAAGCCAAAACAAAACAAAGAAACCAAAGTTTTCTAGAACAGCAAACACAAAATAAAAACAAACACACAAAATACCCTGTGGCTAAAGTCATGGCAAGAGTTGCTAACGAATCTATAAAAAGGGAGAAAAACGGTCATCCCGAAGCATTTACCCAGACAGCTAACCCTGGAACAACACGACATTGGGGGTGCCAATCTCCCGCCCCATTGAAAACCCACATATAGCTCTGGAATCCCCCAAAACTTAATTATAATAGAATAAGCTGACCGGCAGCCTTACCCGTAATGTAAGCAATCGCGTACGTTATATTACATACGATGTTCTTACAATAAAGTAAGCTGGAGAAAAGAAAATGTCATTGACAAAATCATAAGGAAGAGGAAATACATTCACTGTATTTCCTGAAGACAACCCGCCGGTAAGTGGCCACACAGCTCACCCCGCGTTGTTCCAGGGTCACCTATGCTGGCTTGACCGCGAGCATGGGACTGCTCAGTGCGAGCAGACTTACTGGGCGATGACGTCTCTCCCCTTAATGATCTGCTTGATGGCTCGCTGCTGGATTGCCGATGGTTTTTCAAATCCTGTAAAGAAAACCAGAACAAATGAGCTCTAAGCGCTGGCGCAGCATGTTCACAACCATACACCGTAAGCTCACTGGGACACAGCCGGCATCTCTTCTCAATTCCCAGCCCTGCCTAACCTGATGTCCAACGTACCAAGCGCTCAAGAAACAGCTGTAGAAAGAAGTGGGCGCAAGTGGACTTCTATACTGATTAACATGGGACCGTGTCTGTACAGACAAAATGTCTGTAAAAGGAACATCCTTGCAGAATATAAAGAGCCCTAGTTGGGCTGAAAACAAACAAAATGTTCGTGGTGGAACTCCTGGAGAAAGGGTGGGGGAGGCTCCCATTTTTAGCTTACGTAATTACTTCTGTATTGTTTGACTGCATTATAAATCACCTGCGTTGCTTTTCTTTTTTGCATTACTTTTGATGTAAACAACGAAAATCAATCCATCAGTGCTGTAACCACCACACTTTCGTGTCAGCGTTAAGTCTGAGGGCTGTTCCTGTGGTCTGCAACTGCACTGAAGCTACTGCTTGGGCGGCCCTGTGGGGCGTCCAGCACTCTGCTCCTCCTGTCCGGACACGGCTATGTGGCCTGCACCACCAGCATCCCTCTTGCACAGCAGGATAAATGACCAAGGGGTGAGCCCACTCTGAAGGAATAAAGGTATTGACCAAGTAAACAAAACTTTTTGTACAAACTGTATTTTAACTAGTTTGGCAGTACTTTAAAATGTAGTACAATTTCTCATCTAACACAAAAGCAAATATAATAGGTGATTTAAACCCCTCATGACGACCAAGCACATGGATGGGACACTAAAAACCGTGTTTGACGGCAGGGATGTCCTAGGTGCCAAGAGACAGGCAGGGCTGTCAGCCTCCCTCCGAAGCTGGTTGCACTTCACCTCCCATCCCCGCAGCTGCTTCTCTGCTCCGTCTATACTGTGGTGACATCAAGGGCTGCTGGATAAAAGGTGGGCCAGTCCCAGGCGTCAGACCACTCCCACCTGCACCCCCAACCCCACCTCTTCCAGGGCTCCCCACTGAAGACAAATGCCTCCCCAACGTCTCCAGCTGGATGGTTTGCAGGCCCCAGAAATCCACCATGTCCTAGACAGAGCCCCCGATTTTGCCTCCCTCAAGTGCTCCCCACTTAAGCAAATGGCAGCATCACCCGCCCGGTTACTCACAACGCTGTTTCCTCTGCTGCTCACACTCAGCCCATCAGGGAGCCCTGGCAGCACCCCATCTCCACCACACCGCCATCCCTCCCCTGCCCCCTCTCCTGCCTTACCTCCCCTCAAATCCAGATACCCAGGATAACATCTGACCGTGTCACCTCCCGGCTTCAACCCTCCAATGGCTTCCCAGTGCACTTAGAAATAAAACTCAAATGCTTCATCACCTCGCATGACGCTTTGCAAGAGCTGGCCCCTGTCCCCCTCTCCCAACTCACCCCTGGGCTCCCAGGACGACAGCAGGCTTCCTTCTGCTCCTGGAATGCACCCGCTTACGGATGCAGGGCCCTGGCATCAGCTGCGCCCTCTGCCCAGTTTCACCATCTGTTCTCATTACGGGCTCTCTAATCCAGATCTCAGCTCAAATGTCAACTCCTTCGGGAGCCCCGTTATCTGTTTACTCTATTTTAACTCCCTCTTCCCCGAGTCACACTCTGTTCCGTTATCCCGCTTTATTTTCTTCATAGCCGGTATCACCACCTGAAGCGACCTTAGCCACATGCTATTCTTTCCCCAAACATAACACGCTCCCTAAAGGCACGGGGGTGTGTCTGGTTCACTGCTAACCCCCCAGTGCCTAGAGCAGCGCGTGTCCCCAACGCCGGGCGGGCGCAAGACCGTTATCGGCTGAATGAGTGGCTCTGAAATGCCCGGGAGACTTTGCAGTTCTTGAGGAACCAGCAACGAACCCACGGACGCGGCGTGGCGACGGCGTGCTGGGGGCGGAGGTCGCCCATCGGCGGCCCCAGGCCTCAGCTCCGACCCCCGGCGTCCGGGGCGGGCCCGGGACACTCAGCCTCCGGGCGTGGCTCCTCCCTCCCCCTCCTCGCCCTCCCGCCAGCGCCCCGCGTCCCCCGCAACCGCCCCGGGCCTGTACCCACTAACCGTAGGCGTAGATGCCGCGCAGCAGGTCCTCCCGCAGGCCCATGGTATCGAACGTGGGGGTCACGTCCACCTCCTCGCTGGTCTCGAATTCCACTTTGGTCATGTCTTCCTCTTTGAGTAGCCGCTTCCGCGCCGAGCCCGAGGTGGCCATCGTGGCTGTGGCCGCCATGATCCCGGGTCGGCTGAGAGCGGAGCGCGGGCTGCAGCGGAAAGCGGAAACAAGGCCCTTCGCCGCCGCCGCCGACAGGAACTGACGTCATCGCGCGTGCGTGCGTACCAGCGTCCGTCTGGGCCGAGCCGCAGGTGGTCGTGGAGCTCCTCGTCACGTGACGGGGAAGCGCTGCTCGCCGCAGGGAAAGGGGCGGTGCTTCCGATGCTCTCGCGCGAAGTTAGCTCCCGCGGGATCTCGCGAGGGGTGGGGCCTCCGGGGAGTTCGGAGGGACGCGCTTTCGTGCTGAGGCGAGGGGAGCTCCGCAACCCGGTGTCCGCGCCGGCCGAGCCAGGGCGCCCCTGTCCCGAATGGAGTCCCCAGGTGGCCCTGCCTCAAGCGGCAGCCGGGGCGAGGGCCCCGAAATGCGCACCTTCCCCTGTTTAAACGCTTATTCCGACGTTGTCGCTGGCCGGCGTCGGAGGGCGCCGGGCACAGCGCGGGAAACGGGTTAGTACTCCTCACTGGGGTCCCAGGCAAAGAAAGCCTCACCCCACACAGCCCAGTTTTGGGGAATCTGGAATAAGTAACGGCCTGTTTGCCAGCTCTGGTTAGGTGACGGTTTTGAGCCCCCTGTGGGAAAGCCCGTACCCGGGGCCGAGAGACAGAGCGCCCACGCCCGGGGGTGCGGACAGCGGCGTCCTCCGACGCCCCCCGCACCGGCACCCCAGGACGGGCGGCGTGACCGTGGGGACGCGCCCTCGTTGGACGCTGCAGCTCCGTGTCCCTTCAGGCCTCGATAGACCCTGCGCTGCAGGAGGGCGGACCCGGGGGGCGACGCGAACTAGTTGTGATGGCCCGGCCGGTTGTCCCGCGCACCCTCCGCGCCCTTAAGTGCCCCCACGTGCCCGGCAGCCGAGCCGGCGTCACCACCTGGCCTGTGCCCCGCGCGGTTGTGGGAGAAGCGTGTTTCGAACACGCGTGACAGTTACTGCTGCACCCTGGCAGCTCTGGCCTCCCTGTTCCCTCGGCCCGCATCCCTGGGCAGGCCCGTCACCCGGGGCCTCGTTCCGGCCGTGCTGGAACTCCCGCCGGCTGCGAAGGCGAGTTCAGTTAAAACCGTGTCACGCGCGACACCGGGCACGCGCCGCGAGCAGGGGTGCTGACAGCTGCCTGTGTTGACAGCAAACGAGGAACTGAGGGCTTCCACCTGGGAGTGTGTCCAGTCCTTACGAGATAATTGACCTGATAAACGCGCCAGTGTCCGTCACATGTTTCATGTGTAGAAATCTGAGTTTCTTTCTTAGACTTGAAAGGACAATATGAACAGAAGCCCTTAGGTTCTATTTGTCCGGTAAGTAGATCGTCGGGCCGGCGCCGCCTCTGAGTTGCACGCGCTGTTTTGCAAGCCGTGCTCCGGGGCCGTGTTGTCAAGGGCACACCGACTCCAAAGACCGCGAAGGAAAGCGTGTGAACGAGCTCAGTCACAGTGTTTGTAGCGATGCTGTTGGAAGGACGTTTTAGATATACTGAGCTACTTAGGTTACCGCCACCTGTTTCTTTTTACTGTTAGAATATGGCAACTAGAAACATTGTGATTCGCTGTGATGTTCCGATGGGACGGTGCTGTCCTTAGCACTTAATGGCGTGGAAAGTGACCGTGCCAGGCGTGGGGGGGCAGTGAACCGAAGGCTACTGACTTGACGAATTCCGGTATCAGAGAGGAGGGCAAGAAATGGCGGCATCCTCCTTCTAATGCTGAGCGGAGGACGCCTCTTCTGCACGTTATTCAGAATTTTTATCTTACGCAGGGTCCACCTACGCTTGTCTTTTGCTTTCACACCCTTACGGTATTTTATGTCATTTCCCTGGCAAAGTCCCTTTTGTTGTGTCTGAATACACATCTTAAGGGCCTCTTCCTTTTGTTTTTAGGCCAGAGTCCATGAAAATGACAGAAGCTGTGGGGTGGGGTGGGTGCCAGGCCAGCCTCTTGGTGGACAGTGCTGTCAGGGAACAATGGGGAGCAAAGCAGACTTCGTCTTTGTCCTCCTTTGGATCAGTCTAATCAGGGGGATAACCCCTCCCTTCAAACACAGACTGTCTCCTGTGCCTTACCTCCCCCACCCTTTATATTTGGGGAGGGGTGTCATCTCACCTGATTAGACTAGTCTCAGGGAGGGCCCATGTGTGTTTGGTTCCCCATCCTCCATAGCACACAGTAGGTGTGCCTGGATGCCTGGGGCAAGAGGACAGGAGGGGCGCTGGAGGGGGGGCCCAGCTGTCCAGGAGCTCCCCAAGTTCACCCCGAGCGATGGGGAAGACGAATGCCTGTGGGCTGCCCCTCCCAGCCTGCCCCTTTCCCTCTGCCCGTGCTGGACTCCGGGCGGGTCTTGTCCAGGGTCAGGAAGAGGTTTCGGTTGGTGCTGCTGGGCTGGGCTGGGCTGAGTTTCCATGAGTCATCACTGCAGGAGTTGATGTCCTGGATCCAAGGGGCTGTCCCCAGAAAGCCACTTCCACTTCCTGCTAGAAACCCCACCCATTACCTGGTACTCAACGGCAGACACCGTTCCTTTCTAGGCGCTGCCCTCTGTAACCCACTGGCCAGGCGGGCACCCGACGAAGCCCCACCTGAACCCACCCAAGTGCACCGCAGACCCTGCACTGCTGGCGTCTGGTATCCAGCAGCAGATGTGCATGGAGCGTCTCTGAGATGCTGGACTGGTTGGGGAACAGGACAGACAGCGTTGCCCCCACAGAGCCTGTGTTCCAGAACAGGGCAAGCCCAAGAAAACATGCAAAACAGTAAGATAATTGCAGGTTTTATAGCCACTATGATGCAAACGCAGCAAGGCAAAGTGGAAGAGAGTTGAGGAGGTGGCTGGAGAAAGGTGCCACCTGAGCGAGCTGTGAGAGGAGGCGGCTGCAGCAACACGGGGCGGGGGAGGGGGTTCTAGGGAGAAGGAATGGAGTGCGAAAACCCCCCCAGATGGGTAGGGGATTGGTCAAGGGACAAGGCCAGGGTGGTTGTGTCATCAGGAATGCCAGCGAGGTCGGGGGTGGGAGAGGGGAGCAGGGACAGATCCGGAAAGGTCTTACAGCCGATGAGATGGCGTTTAAATGCATCATGTTGCCACAGCAGCCACTTCAGTTCAGGGTGCTTTTCTTCACCGGAAGAGGAATGCATTCTGATAATCGGTTTAGAAAGATGACCTGGCTCTACTATAGGAAAGACAGGAATTCTTGTTCTCTGGAGGCTACAGGCTCATACTGGGGAGGCAGGCAAGAAACAAACAAGGACCTAGAGTACATAGGATGTCGGGGAACAATGGGTCCAATACAGAAAAATGAATCAGGGAAAGGTGGAGGGACAGCCAGGGTGGGAAGTCTGATTTTAAATAGAGTGGCCTGGAAAAGTCTCTCTGGGAAGGTGGCCCTTGAGCGGAGTCATGAAGGAGGTGAGGGAGAAAGTATTCCAGGCAGGGAAACTGCAGATGCAAAGGCCCTGGGGTAGGAGTGTGCACAGAACATTCACAGACTAGCAAGGACGCCCCTGCGTGTGGAGTGGTGACTGGAAATGAGGTCGTCAAGTACAAGATAAGCAGGGCTTCGTGCCTGACTCGTGGTGAGGACGTGGGGGCTTCTAGACCAAAGGGAACGACATGACCGGCCTCCCCCTGTAAGAGGATTGCTCTGCCTGCTGTGTTGAGAACTAGCTTTGGGGGGCATGGGAAGAAGCAGCTAGGAGGACATTGCAGGGGCCCCAATAGGTGTCAAGCAGTGATCCAAGTCTGGATGTATATTAACCTAGATCAGGGGCCGGCAAACTTTTGAGACAGAAGAGCTGCCAGGGGTCAGGAAACTGGCTCACGAGCCGCAGGCTCTGAAGTAAAATTGAAAATAAAACTATCATAGTTTCATTTATAAAATTTTTAAAGGATATTATTCACATAATGGTGATTATGTAAAAATATATTTATGGCTCTCGAATAATTTCTAAACTGTTGTGAGGGACAGGATTGGCTCTTCCAGGAGTCAGCAAACTTTGGAGACGGAACGTACCCAGAGAGCTGCATGTGGCTCACAAGCCACAGTTTGCCGACCCCTGACCTAGAAGACCAGGACTGTCATCTAAACCTAAATCGTAATCATCAGATGTTGATTTCAGGTGCATCCATTGGAATTAGTAAGATACTTCCCATACTTGATCATGAGAACCAAAGAAGGCCTCCAGCATTTATCCCAGTCGTGCCAGCACTTCCCCTGAGGGGTGCCGATGAACCAGGCTGACTGTTCACAAAGGAAGGAGCAAGGCTCCCACACTCGGGTTGTCTACCATCCTGTCAATCACCACCTTCTGTGGGCCGACCAGATGCAAGGGCCGTTTCCAGAAGCTTCCATGGCCCTCACAAAGGCACAACAAGCTCTCTGCACGTGGCATTCCCGCTGTGGGAACGTACTGGGGCTTGGTGATGCGTGGAGGCCCCGTGTAGGGTGTCGCTTCCGTGGGCAGGACCGGACGGACGTGCCTGTCAAACCTGCTCGCCCGCTGCTTCTCAGCCGAGACTGTGACACAGTCAGTCATCCCTCCTGAAGCGTGAGGACGGTCAGCACATGGAGTCCCTGCCGAGCAGAGCAGGTTAGCATGGTGGGGAGAGCGGGCAGGCCGGACGGATGGCAGAGCTGTCCTTGGGCGAGGGGTGGGGGGGATACGAGGGGCAGCTTCCTCCTCATAAGGAGGGTAGTGCCTGGTTTGTGAACATTTTGCTGGGCTACGTTGCTTGGGCATTGGCTGCTAAGTCCCACCTTCATGTAACACAGTTTGGACCGAGATGGAGGAAGGAATACGCTGTTTTGTACTCTAATCTCAGTATGGTTGCCCCAGGGTGAAAGGAAGGAGAAGGAGGCTTTCTAAGTTCAGGTACACGAAGTGAGTGCGACCAGCTGCCTGCTCTTGGTGGCAAGGGCACAGCCAGACATCAGATGATACTTGGGTGCGGATTTGAGCGAGGGGTGCTGGGGAGCGCACCTTGCTTCTGTGCTCGGTGCCCGTGTGCCTCGCCCATCATGTTTATGTATCAGCTCCCCTGAGCTCCCTCTAATGCATCCCTCCCTACTTGGAGTTCTGCACGCGCGTGCCAGTGTGCACGTGTTTTCTCCTTCCCTGCCTGTAGGCGTGAAGGTTGAGCCTTGAGGTATGGCCAGAGTGCTGGCGTGGGAGGGACCAAACCGGAGCACCCACAGCTAGATGCCCAGGCCTCTTCTGATCTAGGCGCCTCTAGAGTGGCTGTGGAGGAAGAACATCCTTAGGGATCTGTAGGCTAAATTTGCTTTACTATTGGGACTCACCCCTGTTTAAATTGGGGCTGAGTTTTTGCAAAGAAACCCCCACATTTTTATTGCCTTGTGGGGTGCATTGCAAGCTGCTTCGCTGCACAAAGAATGGGCTAGAGTGGCTGGTCCTGGGCTCCACCCACTGATACCCAAACCCGGTATGGCTTTGGGGGTCCCAGGAGCCAGGAGCAGTTGGTTGGCTTTTAGAGAGTCCTGGGGCGACCTGTCTTGAGCTGGCCCTGACTTTCTGAGTTCACTTTGATTGGAGGGGGTCTGAGAAAAGCCAAGTGCTATCAGACCTTCCATGGGAGGCAAGTGGGGGTGGGGGTGGCAGTCGGATTAGAAGACCCTCTCATAGCAGCCTGTAACCCCTGGATCGGCCCTGGGAAGGCACCTGAAGTCCCTGCAGGCCTGCGAGACTCATTTCCCAGCCCGTCCTGGTTGCAGGGCCTGCTCACAGACCTGGGTACCTGGAGCTGGCCACGTGGCCCCTTGGCAATTATGTGATATAATACCAGAGAGCAGGCCAGTTGTAATTTGCTAAAAACAAAAATTAGTATTTTGTGACCCTGAATTTTGAGGTCCCTGACTCCTTGAACCCAACCTGATCCAGGGCCGTTGACCCCGTCAAAGGAAGGTGGGGTCACAGCTCAGGGTCAGCATATTTTGCATCTGCTTTTGAACCTCTAGGCTCAGGCTTGATGCATATTTAAGTGGATGTTTTGTGAGAAATTTGGAGGAAACACAAAGGTTTTATAAAGATGCCACACTCCCCTTTATTAAGTGGAAGGTTAAGAAATTCTGTCCCCGGAGTAAGGAGCAGGACTAGGCCAAAGTCTTCCTCCCCGTCCCCTGGCTTTTCCAGACCTGTCCCACTTAGCAGCGCCTGTAGCCCTGGTCTGCTCCCACCCTCCTCCGTGCCCTCATGCTTTAGGCCTGGCTCCTCCTGGCGGGACTGAGGGAAAGGCCAGAGGGGACACCTCCGCTGTTGTCCCCGCCACAGCGTGAGGGGCTGGGCCTCTGTGCACATGCCGCCTTGTCTGTGAAACACTGTCCCCAAACTGTCATTTGTGAGAGCAAAGGGGGACACAGTGAGCAGCATGCTAGGACAGGAAGTGTCCCGGGCAGCCTGGGCCCGGGGGGCATGTGGTTCATCAGTGATGAGCACCTCTGGGTCTGGTCCATTTCTTCTGCCTGCTGATCAATTGAATTCACTGTATTGTTTGCTGAGACAGTGACTTTTTGGTTTCATTGCACCCGTGCTTGCTCACTCTGAAAACTTTATTCAATACCAGAAAAAGAAGGCAGCAGGTTTCCTAAAATTCAACCAACACGAATAACAAGCATTAGCATCAGTGAACAATGTTTTATAAGCTCAGTGCGCGCTCTCTCTCTCCCCTCCACGAATTGCACACACACACGCACATGCACACGCGCTGAATGATGGACTGATAAGATGGACGGATTGGACAGCTGGATGGATTGGACAGACTGAGGGACTGCTAGAGAGAGGTACACTACCATCGTTTTACAAAAATGAGGTCACGTCCTACATGATTTAAAAGTACAATTTTAATTTTGCTTAAATTTAAAGTTATGTTTAAGAGAATCATGGAATTGCTGAATGCAGTATAAATGTTTCTCAATCGCAAGAACTGTTACATCCTTAAAAATCCCCACTCAGATTAAGATAAGAGGTTATGAAGCCCAGGACAAGTCAGAGACGTTGTGTAAAATTGACAAGCCTCACGGGAGATAGCAGCCCCGTCTCCTGGCCATGACATACAAAGTGGCCCGCTGCCTGCAGTCCCTGCCCACCAGTCAGGGTGCCCGGCCACGACACATTGGTGACTATTGCACCTGCCAACTCTCCTTGGCATCCTGGTGCTCAAAACCCAATTTCCTTTTAGAAACCTGCTTCCTAGAGCTGAGGAAGCTTCTCTATTTGCTGAGCAAACCGCAGGTGTCAAAGATCTGTCCAGTTGTTTCCTGGATCTGAGCTTAACCTTTGTTTTTCCCCCTTGCACAGTCTTCGGTGCAGAAGTCTGAGTTTTGGAACAAGCCACGTGGCGTGAAAGCTGTCAGATCGCGTCAGCACTGGATGAGCAGGCTCTTCCTGCTCTGACCCGGTCCTCCTGGCCGCCTGCAGAGAACAGAGCGGTGGCCACACCTGACCAGGAGGGGACACTGGGTCCCATCCCACGCGAGGAGTTCTTGCACAAACGGATGTGAGTGCCTCGGTGAGTCCTTGCTGTGCACTGGGCCCCATGGCGGACTGGGGGCGGGGCCTGTCCGTGTGGAAAGGACCCTCCAGCGACCAGCCCCCATTTTGTCTAGTCTGCAGGGGTTGGTTTGCTCTGGTTTCCAAGCGTGTTCAATGTAGACACCTCTTCAAGAGGCGTTCAGCTCCTGCCAGTCCATTTGTCACCCCAAATGAAAAGAAGCAGATCACAGGAATTTTTGGGTCCGAGAGAAACACTCTCAGCTGTGCCCAAGGAGATGCACTGGCCATCATGCGTGTGATGGAGAAAAGGTAGAGCCAGCCTGCTGCCCATTCACAGGAGCGTCAGGAAGCACCTGTGGTGCATTCATGCCTTTGAATCCGTGGGCAGTTAAAAAGGTTTATGCAGCTACGTGTGTCCATGTGCCCCCCACACACCGGCGAGTGTGGTGCCACACTTAGCAGTGGAGACACTGCTGGTGGGAAGTTCCTGTCAGCATCCAGGATCACGCAAAGCGCCACGTCGTGTGGTCAGAGGGTGGGGAGGACGGAGCCATCTCTGGGGTGCTTTTCCTTAAAAAGAAACCTGAAGTCCAGAGTGTTCAGATGGGTCGAACCTGCGTGGTGGGTACATGTATGTTTGTTATGCCACTTGCAGGACTTTTACACACACACACACACACACACACACACACACACGTGCTTGAAACAGTCCAAGTTTAAAACATTTTAGAATTATTTGGATTAATAGGCTAATGATTGTGCCAGGGCTGTGAGTGAAGAGACGATTGTGACCGGAACAAAGCTGTGGAGGCAGCTGATACAAAGTGGGGGGTGCCCGGGGCGTTCCCCGTGGGTGGGGGGCTGGACAGGTGCCCTCTGAGTCCTCCCAACAGAAGGGCTTGGATTCTAGACCGTTTGGCACGTCCCTCGGAGAGACAACATTCCGGGGCTCTGAGGGTGAATGGCTTCAGGGCTTTACCCACACAGACCCGGAGCCCCAGGCCTGCTGCAGCTTGTCCCTCAGACACCCAGCAGCCAAGGGGGCATGGCCTTCACTGCTCACCCTAAAGGGTGGTTTGTTCTAGTTTCACATCGATCTATAACATGCTTTTACAAAGTGCTCTAGCACATTTCCCAAGTGCGTCAGCATGAGTGTCCTGGGGCTGCTGAAGATGACAGGTGCCCAGCCACACCACGTACAAGCAGCGTCTTCCCGTGACAGCGCCCTTTCCCCAGCCCTGCTTCCCACCGATGGCCCCCGACCCCTCGGTTGCGGGCCGCGGGCGCTGCCTCTGGTTGCTGGGCTGCTGGGTGGGTCGTCCAAACGCTCACATGTATTCCAGGCAGTGCCTCTCAGCCCCTCTTTCACCATCACCCTAAGGAGCCTTTTTAGACAACTTTACCTCAGTTGCCCTCCCGTGAAGCGTTACTGTCTCAGGTATGCTGTGTATGTGTTAGCACTTCTGTGCTTTATACACAGAAGGGCAAGGATTTTTGCCTGAGACCCAGTTCCCACCGTGGGGGCAGTGCTACCCCTGCTGAGAACGTGTGTTCTAGACCGACCTCAGTCAGTGCTCTGGGCCAGGGGCCGCAGCCTGTGCTTCAAAGGAAGTCCAGTCTCCTGCAGCCAAAGGAAACCTGGCCCCTGCTCTGCTCCGGGTGGAGGATTGATTCAATATCAATCCTGGTCACGGGACACCAGGGCCAGGGCTGATGTCATCGTCCTGTCCAAATTGGTCATTTCCTTCCCTACCAGTGATGTTGGAAAAGGGGGTTTGAGTGCAGAGGCCTCCCCAGGCCTGGCACCGTAGCACTGACTCCAGCCCTCTCCATCCAGGGTTCTCAGGCTCCCCGAGTCATGGCGGAACTGCGATGCCCAGACTCCACGCTAACAGCCCTGGACGAGGAGACACTGTGGGACATGACGGAGAGCCACCGCTGGGAGATCGTGCGCAGCATCTGCCCCAGCCGCCTCACCCCCTACCTGCGCCAGGCCAAGGTGCTCGGCCAGCTGGACGAGGAGGAGGTGCTGCACAGCCCCAGGTTCACCAACACCGCCATGCGAGTCGGTGAGGACCGGGCCCCCGCAGGGCCCTTGCTGCTGAGCCAGCTCACATGGCTGTGCTGTGAAGCTAAGGGGACCTGTGTCCCAGACGTGTTTCCCAGGCCTGCCATAACCAGTGACCACAAAGTGGGTGGCTTCAACCAGCAGGAGTGGGTCCTCCCCCAGTCCTGGAGGCCAGACGTCTGAAGGCAGCATGTCGGCAGGGCCAGCTCTGTCTGGAGCCTCTGGGGAGGACCCTTCCTGCCTCTGCCACTCCTGGTGGCCCCCGGCGGCCTCCTCTCGTGGCTACATCGCTCCAGCCCCTGCCTCTGTTTTACACAGCCTTCTCTGCGTGTCTCTCCTTTTCTGTCTCCTATAAGGATACTTGTTGGATTTCAGGCCCACTCAGATTATCCAGAATGAGCGCATCTCAAGATTTGTAACTTAATCACATCTGCAAAGACCCTTTTTCCAAACAAGGTCCCACTGACAGGGTCCAGGTGGACATGTTTTGGGAGCTACAATTCAGCCTGTTCCAGACGTCTTTGGAGCCGATACTGGTGTTCTGACTAGCTGACTCTTATTCATTCAAAAACGGGGAAGCTACCAGTTCCACCATATCAGGATATTGGGCGAACAGATGGGTTTCTGTTTATAAGATGCTCTTCTCGAAGCCTGGGCCGTAGAAAGCCGGCAGTAATAGCCGCTGCTGACATGGTACTACCTGTGCCTTTTGCCTGATGAACCTCAAATGCAGGAGAAATAAAGTCCAAGCTACTAACCCAGGCTGAGAGCGATGGGGTCTGGTGGGCCCGGGCCCTGAAGCGCAGCAGTTTGCATCTTTCGTCCCGTGAGCTTTGTGTACACACGTCTGCACATGTCCCCCAACACTCCTGGGAGGTCTTGAAAGCAGCGATCATCTTCCTCAGTCTTTTATCTCTAACTTGTAGCACTTGGGTCATAGTAGTTGCTCAGTAAACATCAGCCTTGCCTTTCTCAGGACTGACTGCCACCACATGACTGAAAGGGGCCTAGAAGAGCAGGGGCGGGAGTGGCGCGCCCCACCCCGGGATCCTGATTCCCTGTGTACAAGGATCCTCCCCTCTCCCTCGTGGGGAAGCCTATCCAAGGCCTGTTAGCCAAGACCGTTCTCTCCCCAAGGGCACTTGCTGGATTTGCTGAGGACCCGAGGGAAGAACGGGGCCATCGCCTTCCTGGAGAGCTTGAAATTTCACAATCCTGACGTCTACACCCTGGTCACCGGGCTGCAGCCCGACGTGGACTTCAGCATCTTCAGTGGTGAGAACTCGGCCTTTGTTGGGGTCTGGCAGGGGCTCCTCAGAGCCTCTGGTTCCTAGTAGCCTCAGGGCCCCCCTTGCCGGCATGGTGTTCTGGACACTTTCCCTGATGCCTTCAAGCAGAGGTTCCTGTCCCTGTGCCCCAGCACTCTGGGGGTGAGGAGACACCCCCGCCCCCACTAACTACTGTGGGGTCTGGGGTTCTAAAAGGAAAGGCCTGTCCCTGATTACCCAGCATCAAGAGGAGACCCTTTCAGGGTGTGGGATCTGCCTCTGAGAGGCACAGGCAGAGGGAAGTGTCCTTTCCCTAGAAAAGCTCCCGAGTGGGTCTGCTTGGGGGCCTGTGCTGGAGGCAGAGTGGCCAGCCCAGCCCTGGGCCGGCCTGGCTCTCAGGAGCCCCACCTCCTGCCCCCCCACCCCCCAAGGACAGAGAGGCACCTGCATCCCGCTGTGCAGCTGTGCATGTGCTCAGCGGCCAAGTACAGGTTCAACCGCTTTGGGGGGAGATAAGACCATCTTCGTTCACTGAGTGATTTGAAGGCCCCGGGGGCAGGGAGGGGCTAGCGAAAAGACGGGTTTCCAGAGGAGCTGGGCCGACACCACTGACCACCGTGAGAGGACGTTTCCGCCAGCTTGGCCTTGGTCCATGTTCCTGTTGTTTCAAGTCTGTATTACACCGATTTATGCTCCGGTTATGTCGTTTTTAGGACGTTAAAATACGTTAGCAATGAGCATGCCTGGGCCGATGGGGGGGAGGTTGGGTTTTAACAGCAGGTCGCACGGGGAAGCCGAGAGTGGGTAATCCTTGTATCACAATCTCAAGTTCACTCGAGCCCAGAAGTTTTTAAGGAGACCAGCAGATTGGGGTGGGTGGTTCTCTTGAAAGTCTGGGTACAGGAAGCAAAGGCCTGGAGGACAAGGAGTGAGGGCGTGTGGCAATGCCCGGCTGCCCTGCCCCTGCCCCTCCCGCAGGACTCATGGAGACGTCCAAGCTGACCGAGTGCCTGGCCGGGGCCATCGGCAGCCTGCAGGAGGAGCTGAGCCAGGAGAAGGGGCAGAAGGAGACACTGCTGCAGCAGTGCCGGCGGCTGCAGGAGCGGCTGGGCCAGGCCGAGGCCCACGCTGAGGGCCTGCGCCAGCTAGAGGCTGACCACGGCCGCATGAAGCGCGAGGTCAGCGCCCGCTTCCACGAGGTGCTGAAGCTGAAAGACGAGATGCTCGACCTCTCACTGCACTACAGCAACGCGCTGCAGGAGAAGGAGCTGGCCTCCACGCGCTGCCGCGGCCTGCAGGAGGAGGTACGCTTGCGCCGCCCCGTGAGCCTGGGCTCCGGCGCCCCTCCCATAGCCCAGGTGGCAGTGAGCCTGCCCTGCCCTGGAGCTGCCCTGGACCGGCTGGTCTGTGACGTGCCCACCATGGGGAGGCGCACCCATCCATGTCGGGGGGCAGGTCTGGCTATTCTGGCCTCCGCAGTGGGGGACCTCCTTGTCGGTACCCCAGGGGACGGTGGACCTCTGTCCACCCCTCCTGTGTCTTTCTCAGCTGGTCCTGGACTCAGGCGGGAGAACAGCATGTTATTAGCGGGCCCTCAAACCCCAGCAATGGCTTTCACTCATTTTTCCCTTGGGGATTATTATCTTCTTAGTGATTTGCAGGAGTTCGTCAAATATTGAGGATATTCATTCCTTGTCATGCTGGTATATGCTTTTTGCCTCTAACTATGGCATTATTATTTTTTTCATTCTTTTAATTTTTAACTTTATTTAGAAATAATTTCAAATTTAAAAGGACATCCGCATACCCTTACTGTGTCATTTGGACTCTTTCTGTGTCTGTCTGTCTACACACACACACACACACACACACACACGCGCGCACTCACACTTTTTTTCCTGAACTACTTGAGTTAGATCATGGCCCTTTACCCCTAAACATTTCCAAGTATATTTCCTAAAAATAGGATATTCTCTGACATAACCATAGTGCAGTTATCAACATCAATTTACATCGGGAAAGTCTTTTTATCTAGTCTACCCATGTTCCGCTTTTATCGGTTGACCCACTGGCGTCCTTTGTGCACTTCCCCTCCAGCCCAGGCTCCAGTCCAGGCTCAGGTGTCGCACTGGGTTGTCCTGTCTCTTTACCCTCCTTTAATCTGGAACGTTCCCGCAGCCTTTCTCTGTCTGCCACGGCAGGGACGTTTCTGAAGACCGAACCGCACCTCCCCTGCCTTTTATGAAAGAATAGACCACTCCTCATTTGGGGTTCGCTTCATGTTTCCTCATGAGTAGTTGGGGGTTATGCATTTGGGGGGCCCTGTCTAGGAGGTGCTGGGCCTGTCTCAGGGCGCCCCGGGGGGAGTTGCGATGCCCAGCGCCCCTTACTGGTGACATTATGTCCACTACTCCGTCCAGAGGCTGCCCAGCACCCCTGCTGCATAATAACGGTTCTTTTTGCTCCCGGTAGCTAGTAAGCGACGGGGGAGGGGGTGCTTTGAGACTCGCTGGCGCCCTGCTTCTCATCAGCATTGCCCCTGTAATTAGCCTCAGTGGTGATTCTTGCCCCAACGCCTTCCTCTGGTGGCTGCGAAATGACGAACCCGTCCGCAGCGCGCCCTCCAGTCCACCCGCTGGCCCTGGGCGTCCTGCCCATGAGAAAAAGCCCCCCATCCCCGCTTGTGTGTCTGATATGGGCACAGCTGCGTGGATTCTTGTTTCCAATGGGCTGTGACACATCACTGTCCTTAAGGAGTTTGGTGCTCAGATTGTCCCAGATTGGCCAGTGGGAGCCCCGTCGTCTGCTCTGTGTCCTATGACATGTCCCTTCTGTGTTTCTGAGCGCTGGCTTCCTTTCCGGCATCACAAGAAAGATGTTCCAGGATCATCATTATCACACACACACACACACACACACACACACACACACACACACACACACACACACACACACACACACACACACACACACACACACACACACACACACACACACACACACACACACCCCTTCAGCCCACACCGGGGTCGGCCATTTCTCTGAGGGGCCCTGGTTCCTGTTATCCTTTGCCCTTTCAGCTGACAGCTGGGAGACATGTGCACATAAATGTACACACACACAGTTATGCACACACACATACATATCTTAGAAGTCCTGAGTTCACACCCATACCTCTAATCTGTGCGCTCTCCCAGGGTTTTCTTGCCTTCCCCCATTCCGCACGTGTATGTGCCTCTTCCTTGTGAGAACCCTGGCTCCCAGCGTTAACACTCGCTCACATGCTCAGCCCTACGCTGCATCTGAAATGGCATCGCTCTGCCCATGCCAGGACAGTGACCAAAAGACTCGAAGTTTACAACCCTGCACAGGCTGAGGGCTTGCAGTTAAGTGCTGTGTTCAGAATTTCTTGTAGCTGCCCCCGCATCGCTCAGTGCCTTCTCCCCCCCGCTTTCATTGTGGTTATGGTATGTGTTTGAAATGCAGTTAGGCGCATTCGTTTGGGTTTACTCCAGATCTTAAGGGTCTAATGTTACTTTCTGCATATGTACACCATGGCCTGCCTAACGCGTTGGCCCATTGCAGGAGCTGGGCTATCGCTGGTGGAAGGTTTGCTAATGAGGTGTTGGAGGGAAAGGTCCAACCAGAAAGTCCCGGCCTTGTCCGCTTGACCCCGCCTCACAGTGAGTGCCGGACTTCAGGCAGACATGCAGACATCCTAGCTTTGCCTTATGAGGAAAGACCACAGCAGGGCAGGGAGAGGCCAGACCCATCAGCTCAAGGTCCAAGTTCCTCTTGAGCCACTGTCCCACGGGACAGAGGCCAGCAGGACCTGGCCAGGTGGCTTCCAGAGCCCCAGACACAGGGCCTGCTGGGCAGGAGGCGTCCCTTTCTGTGCAGGGACTGCAAGCGCGTGTGAGTAGGTGCGTCCTGCCTCCCCAGGCCCGGCATCTCCGCCCCGTCTGACTTGACTTTCTCTTTTCCCTCACTGATGTTCGTGAATCCAAGTCCCCTTTATGTGACGTACTTAGCAGGATATGAAAATGCAGAGGGCCATTCATCTTCATCTCTGGCTGCCGGTGACTCTGTTTCAGGACAGGGTCCAAGAGCTGGTTGCCAGGGCTCCTTGTTCTGTTTCCAGGGACCTAGTCCAGGCCTTTAACCGCTACGCCTCACCCGTAAAGCTAAAGTGCCATTCGCCTCCCACAGGGATTGGGACTCTTAGTGATGTGACCGCTTTAATGGGCTTTGCAGTCTGAACTGCATCATCACTAACGAGGGAGGTGGAGAGACACACCTGGCGCTGGTCTGGGGGCCTCGGTGTTCCCACGGCCCTTTCTCTTCATCTCCTCCTGGCAGCTGTATCTGATGAAGCAAGAGCTGCAGCGAGAGAGGCTGTCGGCTTCCTGTGAGCGGGAATTTCGAGAGCGGTCCCTGAAGATGGCCCGCGGGCTGGAGCCTGGAGCCGAGGAGCTGAGCCGCCTGAAGGAGGAGAATGAGAAGCTCCGGTCACTGACTTTCAGCCTGGTGGGTCCTGGTCCCCCCAGGCCATGCGGTTTCTGACAGGCATCCCGTTGGGTGTGGCCAAGGCCCCCATGTCGCGAAACCTAGTGACTCACTCAGGCCTACCACGTTCTCCCCCTCTTCCTGCCTCTTCCCCTCGCAAGAGGCAGGATTCTCAGGGACTGGACACGATGCCCCACTCAGGCCCTCCGCGGAGGCCGTGTTGTTCTGCAGTGGATGGGGCTGACTATAAGTGATGGGGTTCGCTTTGAAGTCGGGGGACAGGGAAAGGAGCCTTTCTGCCTGCAGAGTAGCCTGCGTTGGACAGTGGGGCATTACAGGACACGGAGGGATTAGGGATGCCAGTGCCCTGGAATTATGCATGAGACTCCTTCCCATCAGTGAAGGTCTCTGGTCAGGATCTTCCTTCAGTAGGACACCCACTGGGCGCAGGGTGCCGTCGTCACGAGCCCCCGCCTGGGAAGTGAGCCTGCGGGAGGCAGTGACCTGGCCTTGGTGCTTCCCTCCCTCAGAAGCCCCACTGGTGGGTTTGTTGAAGGAGCAGCTGGAAGGGCCTGAGGGAGGAGGTTGCACTCCAAGAGGTTTCAGTTTCCAGCACTTTCCGTCTCCTCGACCAGCCGGGCACACGCAGAGCTGAAGTGCAGGTTTCCCCCAGTCTCCTGTCTGATGTGTAGAGATAGGGCTACATCCGCCCACGCCCGGCCTGCAAGCTTCCTGCTGCCTAGCCTCGGGACGAGCTGATGGGGACACTTGGCCAGGAGCAGGCCCTTTGGGGCGGTCGCGGCCCTGGGCTGACCCCTGTTTGCCGCAGGCGGAGAAGGACATCCTGGAGCAGAGCCTGGACGAGGCCCTGGGGAGCAAACAGGAGCTGGTGGAGCGCATCCACTCTTTGCGGGCGCGGGCAGTGGCCGCCGAGAGGCAGCGGACGCAGGTGACCCTCCCGCGGGCCTGGCCGGGGGTGCGCACGGTGGGGAAGGCAGGTCCGCTCATCCACACCGAGCGGAGGACCAAGCTTGCCAAGCTAATGTGTTGTTCATTCGTTTATTCCTTAGTCAGAGCTATACTGAGCACCAGCTCACAGTCCGAGACTAGAGGTCAGGCTCATGGGGGCTGGTGAGCAAACAAGTGATGAAGACATAGGTCACGTCAAGTGAGGGGGGCCCCCGGTGACAGCCAGGGATTCACTGAGTCGATGCAAAAGGCAAGGGGAGGACGGGGAGAAAGGAGACATTGGGAGAGAATGAGGCTGGTGGAGGGAAGTCCTTTTTGCATTTTGGGGTGCGGAATAATCAAAACAATTGCACATGCAACATCCGTGCATCTTGTGACGACAAAGTTCAAATATAATCAGCATAGCAGCTCTGTGGACGCTCCTGGAAATCAAGCACTTAAGAAACGGGCATGACTTCACCTTATTTCACCTTTGGAACCACCAACCCCTCTCTCCTCGAGGCTCCCCCGCCCCATCCTCAGTCCAGCCCTCAGAGCCGCTGACCTTCATGGGCTGTGTTTGTCCCCTTCTGTCCAGTACTGGGAAGAGAAGGAGCAAACCCTGCTTCAGTTCCAGAAAACGAAGGTGGACTGTGAGATCTACAAGGAGAAGATGAACGCCCTGCAGAGCCAAGTGGTCGAGCTGCAGAAGGAGCGGGACCAGGTACCAGGAGAGGCGAGGGGTGGCCTGGGCCGGGTCACAGGGCGCAGAGGACAGGAGGTACCTGTGCAGGGGAGCCCAGCTCTGGAAGCCCCCCTGCCCCGCTGGGTGCAGCCGGAGGCTAGCTGGCCACCTCACACAGCTGGCCCTGCCCTCGATGGCAGCTGGTTCCAGATTTGGGGTCTCTGTCCTTGGTCCATGTGGCTTCTCAACTCCCACCGCTGTCATCTGCTGACATGCTCACTCTCCAAACTAAAGGTCACGTCTAGTGCCTCCTGTCATTCCTGGCACACTGGGAGTTATTAAAACCACAAATTACCTGAGTTGTAAATGAATGATGAATGTGTGCCCATTGGAGTGAGCTCTGTGTTTGGCACACCGGTTGAGCCCAGGAGAAATGCAGAGGAGAAGCAGGTGGCTTTCTCTGGCTGGGCCCTGTGTCAGGCTGGCACGGCCTCTATGCACTGAGCATCGCTATGTCTGGACCTGCAGGCCTACTCCGCGAGAGACGCAGCCCAGACGGGGGTTTCTCAGAACCTGACGGAGAAGGACGCCCTCCGCAGGAAAGTGTTTGAGCTGACAGACCAAGTCTGCGACCTGCGCCAACAGCTCCGCAGGCTGCAGGCTGAGTCACCACAAGGGGTGAGCACTTACCTTCTGCTCGCTCGTGTGTGGCCTCAGATGCAGGGTGGCAGGGCTGGAGGCCGCCCGGCAGGGTGTACACGGGGTGGGAGCTGAACCAGGCCGCTTGTGGCCCCCGCTGGGGCTGGGGCGTCTGCATTCAACTCCAGCCTCTGAGCACGGGGTCCTGTGAGCAAACCATGTTGTCAGACGGTGACAATGCACACAGGCAGGTTGAGTCTGCCTCTGCACCTCCTTTTATGATAACATCATGCAAGTTGTGGAAGGGGGAGCTTAGAAGGTTCTGGAACCTGTAGATTGTGGTGTTCGATGAGAACAGAGAGCAGCAGATGAAACTGCGGGCAGCCACTTGCTTTTGTAAATGATGGATTCCTGGGATGTTTGAAAGTCAAGTGTCCAGGAGCAACCTGCACAAAGGAGCTTCCTTCCCTAAGTGCTAAAACTACAGTCAGCCCTCTAGTGTGGCCTCCCCAGCAGCTGAGACACCCTGTTGGGCGCACGTGACTCTTCAGAGATGCCCAGGGACCTGGGTGGCAGGCGGAGCCATCCCCTCCCCTCCTATGTGGGGTGCCCCAGCCCTGGCTCCCTCACCCCTCCCCACACCAACCATATTCAAAAGATACCTATGTGCATGGAGTAAAGACAGATGGACAGACCGCCATCTGCTCAGCGTGCTGTTTCTGAGTGAGGGTGGACGGACAGATCTTATTTTCTCTAATCAGCCTGTCCCCCCAATATTCTATGTGCAGTACATATAGGTATATTATACATATAGCATACAGTATCTGTGTAACCAGTAAAGAACCACATATATTCTCCAAAAGAGTGGAAATGCTGCTCACCAAGCCACCAAGTGACCCTGTAGACACCCGGGATCCCAGGCTCGGAGGAGGAGACGTAATTGTTTTGCCTGGAAGCCAACGACAGGAACCTGCCGGGGAGGATGGAGACGGGGGTAGTGACTGGGTAAAAACCCCAAGCACCCAAGGGGGACCTTTCCTGAATTAACCAGCCCATTGGGCGTCTGTGCAGCCCAGGCCAGAAGCGGGGGCCAAGGAGCCCTGTCGGAGGGGGAAACAGCGGCTTGCTCGTATGTTTGCCATCTGCCCACGGGACGACAGTGACTGCAGCTGCCTCAGCTCCTCCGAGGTACAGCCATTGCCGCCTCCACTGCTGGGGGTAGCAGGTGGCGTGGCACATAGTAGGTGCTAAAGGAATGCTTAGGTGGGCGAGGTGTGCACTGTACACCCAGCGCCCTCTAGTTCCCCCACTCAGCCATCAGCACGTGACCCTCACCCGGTTACTTGGCCTCTCTGGGCCTCCATTGCTTTATATGTAAAGTGGGGCAATACGGCCCATTTCATGGATTTATCGTGGGAACCAAGGATCTAAAATGCAGAAAGCAGCTGTTTGAGTGCCGGTTCATAGTAGGTGCTCAGCTAACGTGTCCTGGCTAAGTGCTCCTCCCGTCCCTCTCGCCTCCTCTGCCCTGACAGGGGCTGTGGGTTGCTCCCTTTCCACAGCAGGGGACGGGTGACGGTGGGGCGGTCCCCAAGCTGACCTCTGCTGCTTCGTCCTCCAGGCTCAGCTCTGGTCTGACCTGAGCACCCCGTCCAGCTGCGAGCTGGTGGACAGCTTTCGCTCCAGCAGCCCCGTGCCTCCCAGCCAGCAGTCCCTGCACAAGCGGGCCACAGAGGACTTCCGGGACCCCTGGGCTTTCAGGTAGAGGGACAAGAGTCAGGGCCGGATGGCTTGGACCCTGGCGGCTCACGGGGACACCAGCCGAGGGCCAGGCAGGTGCTGGGGGCTCTGGGTCTGAGACTGGGAGTAGGTGGCACAGCCTGAGCGGTCTTCTTACACTTGGCAGCGGCTTCCTGGAAACCCTGGAAGCAGCCGGGGGATCCTCCCCCGGAGCTAAGGCGGGCGACGCAGACCTGGGTTACGAGGTTGCAGGTGAGTGCACCCCTCCCCTTCTCCCTGCGGCCACGAGCCAGGCGGGGAAGCAAGGACAGGGACCTGCAGGGGGGCGGGGAGATGACCCAGTGCCTCCAGGGTTGGGCACAGAGACGTGAACTTGACCGCTGCCCTGACGGGGGCTCTGGCAGTTCAAGCCAGTGACCAGATGCTCTGTTTACTGGTCTCATCTAGAGGCTGAGGCAGTTGATTCATGTCCACACCCAGCTAAGCTCAGGTGTTCAGAGAGCTGCAGCCACGTGTGCCCTGTCCCCGCTCCCTGCTCTGACCTGTGGACGCCGAGGCCGCCCAGTGTTAGCAGAAGGCAGCAGGCCTCAGGCCCCACTGCCCGTGCCCGTGGCCGAGGCCTCCGCGGAGCACCTGGCCTCCTGGGACCTTCCGATCTCTCCTGTGGCTTACTTTTCACACTGACCCCTTCTCAAGCCAGGCCCCTCCCGGACAGCACCTTAACCCTTCCACCCTACACATCTGTCCTCAGCCTTGAGCCTCACGCACAGTAGGTGCTTAGCAACCCCTCTGGAATTCACCCCACAGCCCCCAGGGGGTGCACGTACCCCACGCTGCTCCACGCAGGTGCACCCTTATGCCGGGTAGGTGGGTGGGTCACATGACCAGAAACCGCACCTTTCCAAAATCACTGGCGGTTTTATTTATAACGGTGATCAGTTGGGGAGACCCACCCAGGGCATATCCAGCCTGCATGTGAGATCATGAATAGGGAGAGTTATTGCTCTTTATTTGTCTTGTTGTGAGTCTATATTATGTCCCATTTTCATACTTTTAGTGGAATTGACCTCAAATACATCAGGAGTGTCATTAACTTCACTTGACTTTGAATGTGATCACCAATGGATTTTTGCCTGTGGGCTGGGCACGGCTGCCACGGGTGGCAGCTGTTGACTTGACCCTCAAGGAGGCTGCCGCCTGGGCTGGGGGCCCATCTGCCTCACAGGTGTATGTTACAGTGCAGGGCTTGGAGACACCTGAGGACGTCCAGTCCTAGGACTGCCACTCAGAGGCCTCCACAGCCAGCTGGGCAGCCACGCAAGTCAGTGCAGAAATGTGGGCCCACAGTCCTGCTGGATTTGATAGTTGGAGTGAAGCCAGAAGTGCAGGTTCTAGATTCCCTATCTTATAAGATATTGGCAATATTCAAATATCACAAAGGACACAGTGGAGGTCAAACCCTGGCAGGTGCAGCTCTCCACCAGCTCCTCCTGTTTGGGGATAGATGAATCAAGGTCTAAGCAGTGAGGACGGGAGGAGGAAGAGAAGGCCTCAGCCTCAGCAGAGGACAAGGGGTAGATGGTGCCTGAGGCTGGGGGGACTGATCTAGCTCCATCCGCAGTGGGTGAGGTCATGGGCTAGTCCGGCTCGGTGTCTAAGCCTCCCGTTCTGTCTAGACCTTCCTGAGTCCGAGAACAGCCTGCAGCCGATCTCCAGGAGCCTCTGCCTCTTAGCCAGGTGAGTGGAGTGCGGGACCAAGATCAGCAGGTGGCAGAGTGAGGACTGTCCTATCGCTGTTGGGAGGTGACAGGCTTTTGGAGGAGGGGGTCATGGTAGGGGGTGGGTATGGAGAATTCCAGAACGCTGGGACCAGAATGGGGTCAACGGGGAGATGGCCTGGCTGGACCTCCTGCTCGGGCCGCACACGAACTCTGTCACTTTCCTTCCTGCAGCAGTGTCCCGGTGCGGCGGAGGCCAGCCCGCAAGATCCTGAGCCAGGTCACAGTGCTGGCCTTCCAGGGACACGCTTTGCTGGAGCAGATAAGTGTCATCGGTGGGAACCTCACGGGCATCTTCATTCACCGGGTCACCCCGGGCTCGGTGGCCGATGAGATGGCCTTGCGTCCCGGTACCCAGATCCTGATGGTGAGACGTGGGGTCTTTTTTTTTGTTTTTTAACAATGATGATGTTATTGTCACTGTGCATTTGCGCGTGTGTGAGAAAATACACAACATAACTTAAAATTCACCTGTTAACCATTGAGGACAGCTTTTAAAATTTTTATCGTAGTCATTAAATTGCAGAAAACATAAGTGTATAGCTTAACTAATTATTAGTAAGTGACTATATGTGCAGGGAGGCAGCTTTGACATAGCCTAAAAGCTGAATTATGACACTTCAGCCTTTTAGAAAATAGCAAGGAATTCGCAAAGCAGGCGTCACCCCATTCCTGAGACTTGCCCCGTTCTCCTAGGAGGAGGCTGGGGTTGAGGCGGGCGTGGGGTGTGAAGGGGCGGAAGGGGCGGTGCCCCTTGGTCCAGAGCCCCGTGAACCCCACCTGCTCCTCCCTCCTAATGGCTGTCCACATGTGAAGCCCTGTCCTATGTCTCGAAGGATCTCAGATCAAGCTTCCTATATGTCACCTTGTATTCTCCACTATACACGACACAAAAGCCCTTCACTGCATTTCCAGCAGCTCAGCAGCCCTCTTGAGAGCCTCAGTGACCAGCTTATGGTGCGATCACAGCCACAGAGCCCTTTATGATGTTTTGGGAGCCAGTCCTGATACCCAAATGGGGCCAATTCAGTTCTAACAGGGTTAAAATCACACTTCAATTTTTTTTATCATTATAAAAATACTCTCCTAAACTTAAAGCAATACAGGGAATGAATGGAGTGGACAGTGAGAGCTGATGAGCTTTCACAGCTGGGGAGGAGGCGGGTGGGGTTGCCTGGCACCTAGTGGGTGGAGGCCAGAGATGCCCTAAACATCCTACAGGGCCCGGGACGGCCCCACAACACAGAACGACCCAGCCCCCAGTGTCAGCAGTCCCAAAGCTGAGAAACCCTGATCCAGGATGCTCTCAAATACTCGAGAACACAGGTCCCTTCTGAAGAGCAGAAGCTCGGTCCTTGCGGTGACCTTGTCACCCAGCATGTTGGGGAGGTTGTGGTTGGTGCCTGGGGTGGGAATGTGTGTGGTTTGTAGGACCTGAATCAGGGTGTCCTGAGACAGGGCCTGTGACAGAAGCTCTGATGGGTGTGTGTGGGTGACCGGGAAGGGCAAGTGGGTTTACAGGGAGATGCGCCTGTGCTCGGACTGCGGCACAGGATCAGAACCCTGGTCCACAGGGCTGGCCCCCGTGATTTGCCTGCAGGTGGATTGCGAGGCCACAGAGCCCTTCTTCAAGGCCACCCTGGAGGGCATGACCCTGGAGCAGGCTGTCGGACATCTCGGGAGGGTGAATGGCTTCTGCTGCCTGTCTGTGAAGGTCAACATGGAGGGTACACAGCCTCCCCCCCGCCCCCGGCATGTCACCTCTCAGACTCGCCCAGCTACCCAGGCATGTCTCTGTGAGCCCCTGGCCATGCCGACACCAGCTTCCATGGCCCATCCCAGAGCCAGGCTGCACCCCAAGTCTGTGGAGGTCCCCAAGACAGCTGGGGACACCCACTCACTGACTGGCACCAGATGGCTCTGGAGACTGGGAGGTTCCTCCTTCCGCGCCTTTCACATTCCAGAACCTTCCTCGTGTGGGATCACTGCGCAGGCTTATCTGTCCTCATGGGGTTTTTTTTTCATCAGGTTATAAGAAGCTGGTCCAGGACCTGAAGGCCAAAGTGGCTACCTCAGGGGACTCCTTCTACATCCGGGTCAACCTGGCCATGGAGGGGCGGGTGGAGGGGGAGCTGCAGGTGCGCTGCAATGAGATACTGCACGTGACCGACACCCTGTTCCAGGGCCGCGGCTGCTGGCACGCGTCCCGCGTCAGCCCCTACAGCATGAAGGACACGGAGCACGGCAACATCTCCAACTACTCACGGTCAGCAGCTGTGGCGGCCTGAGGGTGGGGAGCTGCCCACGCCCCGGTGACATCTCCGGGCCTTGCTCAGCACGGGGACCCCCTCTTGCTCAGGGGAGGACTGGTCTTCCGGAGGCCCCAAACAAGTGGAATCCCCAATGTGCTACCTGCCAAGTTCACTGCTTGGACAGGGTTTTTTATGAAAAGGGGCGGGCCTCAGTTCTAGAGCATCCTAGAGCATTTGGGACCAGACTTTCTCAACCTCAGCACCGTTGACGCGTCGGGCTGCTTGGGGCTGGCTCCCTTTGTTGTGGGGGGCTGTCCTGGGCACTGTAGGGTGTGGAGCAGCATCCTTTGCCTCCCCCCACCCCCAGTTCTGACAACTCAAATGTCTCCAGACATTGCCAGTGTCCCCTGGAGGCAGGGTGACCAGTCACGCTGGTGAGTCCAGGACTGTTTTGGTTTTAGCACAGAAAGTCCCACATCCTGAGGAACCCTTAGTCCTGGGACAACTGGGACAGTGGTCCCCTCCCTGGGGCACCAGCCCCGCTGAGAACCGCATCCTAGGTCAGCCGTAGTGCACAAAGCATGGTGTCTCGTCCAGCGCCTCTCCAGCTTATCACAAACCTGAGTCCCCTGGAGCTCAGCCCAGCAGGCGCAGGAGGCCCGAGCTTGTATTCCCCACATGCTCTCTGGGTGGGGACAGCCTCACATCCACAGGCCACACTGGGAATTGGGAGGGTCAGGAGCGGTGGCCTCCACCCGCACTCATGCCCAGTCGCCTCAGTTGGTGACTTCAGGGTGGGCTGAGGCTTTACTCGTTTTTTGAAGACCCCAGGGACAGTAGCGGCTGTCAAAGTGGAGAGCCACTATCGGGGGCAGTGGAGGTGTCTCCTTCCAGCCCTCCTTCCAGCTGGGTGGGGCTGTCCTCCTCTGTGCAGGGCTCAGCAGCTGCTGGTCACCCTCATCCAGGACATGGCTCAGCAGAGCACCACCGCCCGCAAGGTGAGGCAGCCAGCCCGGCCGGCCCAGGTCCCGGATGTGGGCCCTGCTCGGGCGGCCCTGCCTGCCTTCCCCTCCTTCCCCCCCAGCTCACATCACCTGCAGGAGGGGCCCAATCCACCCCTCCTTCCACTGGAGGGGCCCAGCCCCACCTGGGTTGGGGGCTGGCCAGAGGTCCCTTGTGGAGGGTGTAGGCTACTGTACGCGGGGGTGACCCCTGTGTCTCTCCCCCGTGGGCCCCTGCAAACCTTCACCTGTATGCACACACCACACCAGCCTGCACATTCTTCTATGTGCAAATATGTCATGTGTGCCCTCTCCGTTGCACACCCAGTCACCCATTCTCCTGTCCATCTGCACCCCGTCTTTATTCTGAGGCTGGTTCCTTGTTGGTTCCCTGAGCAAGGCACTAGGGCAGCCCCCCTGGATCGCAGCAGGGCTAGGCTGAGGGCTCCCCGCGCTTCCTGCCTCATGCAGCCCACCCTCACTACAGATGCTCCGCTGGGGGCGGGCAGGGGGCTCTGCCTGAGGACCCTCTCCTTTCTGCCTCCTCCTGGCACGGGGCCTGGGCCTCCTAGCTGTTCAGCGGGCACAGCGTGGGTCCCCTGGGGGCAGGTGCCAGGCCCCCAGCCCTCTGTGGACGGCTGGAATGACTCCTCATCCATTCTCTCTCCTCCAGCAGTCTTCTGGGGGACCCCAAAAGCTGGTCCGCATCATCAGTGTGGACAGAACCAAGGCCAGCCCTCTGTATTCATCCTTTGACGGGTCCCAGTCAGACGCTAGCAGGTCGGAAGGTGAGGCGGGTGGGGCTGGTGGAGGGGCCCCTGGCCCCACGTGTACGAGGGTGTTTGGGAGGGGCTGTAGGTTGGTCAGCTCAGTCAGGGTACTTCCAGTCGTTGGGGTTGGGGTCAGCTTTGTAAGAGCTGTCATCGATGTCTTTGTGCCTTTCTGGAGAGCAGCTGAGCTACGCAGCTCATGTCCGTCCTCCATTCTAAGCTGCCCACTGCGAGTCCACAGCCACTGGTACCATTGCAGCAACAGCAGCCCGTTTAGAATAGTAACAACGTGTCACCATCCAAATGCCCAACATTAGACAGACCAGTGGGCCTCTCAGATCGCTCCGGAGTGGTTGGTGTGGGCACGAGGCTGTGACACGGAGCTCAGCCCATTTTCTCTGTCCCTGTCAGACGGGATTAAACCACAGCTGTGGAGATGGCCCTGGAGAGTCACAGGGTTCTGACCCACAGGCACAAAGGGACAGCTAAGCCAGGGCTGTGTGGACACATGGGTCCTTGTGCTAGGGCCCAGTGTGACCCGTATTTCTGTAGGTGCTGGGCTGCGATGGGACGCAAACCAGTCCCTTCTGGGGGGGGCCAGGGGCCCAGTGCACAGCCAAGGAGAGCTGACCGATGGGGCCCAGGCTGCCTGGCATCCGGCCACTCATGGCTCTTTTCCCGCAGAGCCCTGCACCGGGCACTTCTGGGCTGAGAGCTATGTCACCCTGGCGCCCTACACGCTGGTGCACCCCCACAGGCCCAGCCGGCCCCGGCCCGTGCTCGTGGTGCCCAGGGTGGTCGGAAAGATCCTGAGTGAGAAGCTGTGCCTCCTCCAAGGGTTCAAGAAATGCCCGGCAGGTATGCTCTCACCTGGGAGTCTCACCTGTGTCAGGAGGTGGGCCAGGGCCTTGGCTTATCTGCTTGTGGGTCACTGTGCAAATGTCCTGGTGCCGCTGTAACAAATGACCACACACTGGGCCACTTAAAACAACAGAGATTTATTCTCCCCCAGTTCTGGAGGCCGGAAGTCCGAAACCAAGGTGTCTGCAGCCCGTCCTCTGTCAGAGACGCTGGGGAAGGGTCCTCCCTCTCCTCTGGCTTCCCGTGGCTGCTGGCGCCCTGGGCATTCCTTGGCTTGTGGCTGCGTCACTCCTCTCAGCCTCCTTGTCACATGGCCTTCTCCCTGTGTCTCTCTGTCCTCGCATGATCTTACAAGGAACCAGTCAATGGATTAGGGTCACCTGACTCCGGTACAACCTCATCTGAACTGACCGCATCTGGAAAGACCCCATTTCCAAATAAGGTCACATTCAGAGGTCCCAGGTGGACATGAATTTGGGGGGACACTATTCAATCCAGTGCAGTTACTGTTGGCAAGTAGGCTTGTACTTAACTGGGGTGGTACCGCTGAGGGTGCCACCCACCTGCCGGAGGCTGCATTGTGGAGCCCTGGGTCCCAGTGGACAGTCTGAGTGTCTTCACGCAGCGGGGACGGTGGCTCCGTGCTTGGAGGGCGGAGTGAGGTGTTGCTGGTGCTTTTACTCGTCCACCCTTCACTGGTTGATGGCTGCCCCGGAGGCGTTAGGTTACCTATGACTTGAGCTGTCTGCGAGCTGGGTCACCATGATCTGGAGGCACTTTGGACGGGGGAGGCCAGGCGCAGGGCACATGCGGTTCTGTCACAGGGGTCTGGGTGGTCAGAACCAAGAGAAGCTATTCCGGAAGAAAGGCACATGTGGGGTGTGTTTTAACAGGTCGGTTGGGGGCAGTTCTCAGCCTTGGCACTGACACTGGGGTGGGGCTATCCTGTGCATTGTAGGATGCTCAGTAACATTCCTGGGCTCAGCCCACTGAATGCCAGTAGCATACCCCCTCCCCCCAGTTGTGACAGCCAGAAATGTCCCCAGACATTGCAAGAGCCCGTTGGGGGCAAAATTGCCTTGGTTATGAACCATTGGTTTAAGGGCTGCAAGGGATTTCTGGGTGTAAGAAGTTGGACATGTAAGTGGGAGTGTGGGAAGTGGTGGAGGAGGGGTTTGTTTATCTACATTTGTCGGTCCATCCCTCCGTCTACCCATCCTTCCTTCCTTCCACCCTTCCATTCACCTCCCACATCCTGGCATTGACGGAGCACCGGCTGTCATGGTTTAGGATGAACACGCAGGGCACAGCTCCTCTGAGTGGGACGGGCAGGGTCACGTCTGTAAAGGGGGCGCCGTAGGGAGAGCTTCCCGAGCTGGCGAGGTTCCCGGGCAGGGGGACAGCATGGAGCTGGCTCAGGACCCCACACAGCTGGGTGTGTGACATCCCTGTCCGCTGTCACCTTCAGAGTATTTGAGCCAGGAGGAGTACGATGCCTCCAGCCAGAGAGGGGACGTCATCCAGGAGAGGGAGGCGTCCAGCGGCCAGTACTGTGTGACCCGCCAAGCTGTCGAGTTCCTCATGGAAAAGGTAAGTCAGCGGCCAGGGGCCGTGCTGGGCATTTGGGAATTCCGCCTCAGAGGAGGGTCCTGGGACAAGGCGGGAAGGACTGCCCGTGACATCTGAGGGACACTCGTCACCCAGCCTGTTCTGGCTCAGTGTTCAGCGGGAACAGCGCGGAAAGTCCAAGGCGTTTCCACCATTTAGGCTCCCTGTGACCTTGGGCGAGTCTCTTAACGTCCTTGAGCCTGTTCCCTCGATGCAGATGTTTAATACCATTTGTTCAGTGAATAAACAAATGGAGATAACACTCCATGTTTTGAGGCTCAAGCCAATATCTGAAAAGAAGCTGGCTGTGAACTGCAGAGCTTCACGTGGATAAAAGCGGCCAGGCCCAGCTGAGCCGGAGGCAGGATGCCCCTCTTCCCAGCCCCACCCCACGGCGGTTGCAGGAGCCGCTGCTCAGGGCTGTGCCCACGCAAGCGCTCCCTCACCCCGGCTGGCAGTTTCTAGGCTTCCCAGGTGAAAGATCAAACTGATGGAAACTCCTCTTTTTATCAGTATTATTTTTAATGGAGGTAACGTTGGTGAATACCACGTAAGTTTCATTATAGTTCGACATCTCACCACTGAGCCCAGTTTCCGTCATGGTACCTGTCACGGCCTCTACCTGGCTTGCCCTTCCTCCCAGTAACCGCCATTCTGTTCTCTGTATCTAAGTTTGTTTCGTTCGTACACTTTTTTCATTTTATATTCCACATGTGAGTGAAGTCTTTCCCCATCTGACTTACTGCGCTCAGCACAATACCCTCCAGGTGGGTGGGAACCCAGGCCTGCAGCGGTGCTTGGGCGCCCCTGGGGGGCCTGCGAGCGAGCCTTCGGCTCCTCCACTCAGCCCCACCGGAACCCTGTGCCGCTGCTGGATGTGGGCTCCCCTCGCCCCTCCAGACTGAAGGTCTTGACTCACTTGCCGCCCCATCCCAGAACACCCACGCCCTCCTGGACGTCCGGCTGGACAGTGTCTGTGCCCTGCACAGGATGGACATCTTCCCCATCATCATCCACATCTCTGTCAACGAGAAGGCCGCGAGGAAGCTCAGGTAGGCGTGCCCGGGGGCTGGCGGTGGGGGTGGGCCTGCCTGGAGCTCCCGGTGAGGCCCGCGTGCCCCAAGCACACATGGCGGGGTCTCCACGAACTCACCCTGTGCCAGCCCCTGGAAGTGCCAGCCCCTGGAAGTGCCACACAACTCTGGGACAAAGGTCCCGCTGACCTCCCCGGGAAGCAGCCCAGAGGACAGCGAACTAAGGGCACCCTGGGGCTTCCTGGGGGCTGCTCTCCTGAGCCTTCCCCGCCGTCTGGCTCCTGCAGGAAGGCCCTGCAACGGCTGGGCACCTCCGAGGAGCAGCTCCTGGAGGCCAGCAGGCAGGAGGAGGGCGAGCTGGACAGAGCGCCCTGTCTGCACAGCAGCCTGGCCCCCGACGCCTGGAGCGACCTGGACACTCTGCTCTGCTGTGTCCGCTTTGCCATCGCGGACGAGCAGAAGAAGGTCGTGTGGACAGAGCAGAGGCCCCGCTGAGGCCCGGGTCCTCCCCTGGGGCTGTGGGGACCTTTGCGTCCTCCCCAGGGCCTCGCAGGCACAGCTTTGGGGAGCTCACCATACAAGCCAGCTCTCTGGGCATGGCTCCCCTCACGAGTCTGACCTTGAACCCTCGCCATGTGTAGGTCACACATGGGCATCCAAACCGTCTACTCACTTTTCTGTGTAAGCGTCCCCTTACTCAGGGCCTGGACACCCTGAGGCTGCTCTGCGGTGGGGGTGCCTTCTGTGACCTCCCCAGGCCTAGGTGTCTCCAGGTAACTGCCCGTCTGACCCGACCACTGTACTTTCCTTCTGGGTTTCAACGTGTCAAAGGGCTCGTCCCAGACCCACTGAGGCAGCCGGCTGGCAGCCCTGGTGCCCCCCTCACAGGTCACTGCACCCCTGCCCAGAGCAGAGGTACAAACCCACCTATGATGTCACCCTGACTAACTTTTCTCGGTTTCTCACAGCTGAGAAGTGCAACTTCTTTGCATAGGCCTTAGTATAACTTTTATAGAGACAGTGTTTACCGGTAAAGATCATCTCCGAGTGATGACAACAGTATTTTCAGCGGGTCTGTGCCTGGTGGCCGCCACGCCTGGCCCAGGGACCTGTGGGGGTGTCCTGTAGAAGCCTCACACAGACACCTGTGCACGCACGCCAGCTGGGCTCCTCCTGAGACCGAGAACGGCCCCTCTACCTGGGCGTCCCACCCCAGCCCCGTCTCTGGCCATCTCGACTCCACTGCCCGCGCTCAGGAGATTCGGGCATGGCTCGGGCGAGGACCCCCAGGGCCCCCCACCTCCTGGCTTTGCCTCCCACTGCCATAGAATAAATGTCATGTTGACAGCAGCGCCCCTGAATCTGAGTACCTTAGGAAGTTGTAGAATTCAGGATGTCGTTGTCATCAGCAAGTTCAGAAATAGACTTTGGTCCATTTTACTAAAATAAGCAGCTTTTACAGTGTTCCGGCCTGTGGCTCTCCGCATGCCCCCAGGATGGAGTTGGTGGGGGAGGGTGACGGGGGGAGCCCACCCACTAGAGGGAGCAGGTCCCCTTACTGGGTTTTCCCAGACAGAGCTTCTGCCCAGTGGCAGGCGAAGGAGGGGGGGGGTCTGTTCCTCCAAACAGAACAAGCGCAGCCTGAGGTTGGGGGCGCTTCATCCTTAGATGTTCAGAAAGCATGCGTTGTGCCCAACACACGGGGATCAAACTTGTTACCTGAGCCTGCCTGCAATCGGTGGCCTAGTGGAACCCTGCCTGGGGTCGGGAACTTGACCGTGGGCTGTTCCAAGGTTTCCTCCAGACCAGAGGTTAACCAAAGCCAGATGCTGTGTTCCCACCCACCACCCACGTGGCACCTGGAGGCCCGTCTCCTCTCGGGGGCGGGCATGGGGACATCTGTGAGTTCCAAAGAATGAAGAGGGTCTCAAGTCCCGGGTCCCAGCCTTTCTATTTGCAGGCCCCCAACCCAACCCAGGAAACAAGACCCCCCCCCTTGCCTAGACCACCCTTACCTGTCATGGGCTGGGGATCCCACCGTGTCCCAAGGTCCCCCTGGAATTCCTGTGTTGGCACACAGGACAGCAGTGTCCCCTACCATGGGTTGGGAGGCTGGGACACAGCCCTGTACAGAGGCAGAGGCAGGCAGGGCACCAGCATCAGGGAGAGCCCGCATATGGGACTCAGAGGAGGGGCTGTGGTCACTGCCCCGGGCCTCACAGCTCGTTGTGGAGCGGCCGGCACTGGGGCCAGAGCTTCTCCTCCAGGACCCCATCGGGAGCACACACCCAGGGGTCATGGGTCTCCCACTGCCACTTGGCCAGCTGGGTCCGGAGCATGTCCAGAACCTGGGCGTAGCGTGGGTCGGCAGCCAGGTTCTGGGTCTCGTGGGGGTCCCGGCTCCGGTCGTAGAGCTCCCAGCGCTCCCGGTAGTAGTAGTGGTGGAGGTCCTTGTACCAGCCCGTGGGCTGGCCGGCCGTGGTGCGGTTCAGCAGGTCCTGGAAAGTGGGCGAGACGTAGAAGTCCTGGTCGATGGGGAACGGCATCTTAAAGTGGAGGTTGTGCACCAAGCGGAGGTGCCGGTGGTGCACGGAGCGCATGGGGTAGGCCATGGTGACCTCGTGGTGGCTCTGGCTGCCAAAGACGGTGGTCCACAGCGGCTCCGCCTCCAGCGCTGGCAGGAGGGACCGGCCCGTGAGCTGGACGGTCTTCGAGCCAAAGATGGCGTAGTGGGGGTAGGGGATGGAGAGCCAATCCAAGATGGTGGGCGTGAGATCTGCAAAGGAGGCTGTGTCAGCATGACGGGCGTGCCAGGGGCACAAGGTCACGCGGGGAAGGCCTGAGGCCAAGCCACCCTGGAAAGCCGGTAAGCCACCGGCGCATCAGGTCACCAACAGGGAAGGGCTCCCGTGGGCCCAGCACGGTCCTTGCTGCCTCACCCTCTGGGGCACCATGCCTGTAATGGTGGCCCTAACTTCGTGGTATTCAGGATCCTTCTAAAACCCCTCAGACCAGAGAGAGCCCGCACATAGGGGCTCATCTATTCCCTCAAATTGGGGCCAAAGGGAGACGTGGGCCCCGTGCTGCAGGGGCCCAAGCATGCTGCTGCCCTGGCCCTTCAAAGTGGGGTGCCCCGGGGCCGCAGCACTAAGGTCACTGGGGGACTTGTCAGAAATGCAAATTCTCAGGCCTGCCAGGCACTCTGGGGGTACGGTATCTGGATAGTAACAAGTGCTGTGGGTGCTGCTGACGCTCACCTGCGGGCCTGTGGGAAAGCAACAGTCTCAAAGGTGGCAAGACCCAGGCTACAGTCCTAGCTGGGTGCTTTCAAGCTGCGTGACCCTGGGCAGCTCACGTCACCTCTCTGAGCCTCGTTTTTGCATATAGAGAATGGGTGGTGGTGTCCCTTCCTCAGCCAGGTGGTGTGGGAACCGCACAGGGTAGTGGGTGCCGAGCAGTCTGGGTGTGGTGGCCCCACTAACTTTTCACTTCCGCGGTCCCCCCTCCCTATGAGACGCAGAGCCAGCCATACCTAGGAGGCTCACGTAGGCCTCGCTGACCTGGCCCCAGCGCTGCGGGTGCTCTGGGGACGACACCAGCAAGGGCTCAGCAGTGCCCGGCCAGTACAGGTTGGTCCTGCCGCTGGGGAAGGGGATCCCATTGTCCGAAGTGAAGATCACGAGGGTGTCGTTCAGGACGCCTGCCCCACGCAGCTCCTGGAGCACGAGGCCAATCCCTGCGGGGTGGGGCAGGCGAGAGCGGCGCTCAGCCACAGATGGACATGGAGGCACGGGAGCCCCTGTCCTCACCCGGCCGCTGGACCCTGCAGCCTCGTTTCTTTCAATCACCTCGCCCATCCTTCCCACCAGCCCAGGCCTTTCGCCCAACACCCCACCCAGCGTCCCATCCTGGAGCAGGCCTTGCGTGGCCTCCGCCTGAGCCCTCCCCTCCAGGGACGCCGGCCATCCCTCAGCACTTCCGTGTCGCCCCGCTGCTAGCTGCCATACACGGGCGTCCGTTTTCTGGTCTCACGTCTGCCCTTGGAACTAACGGACAGTCTTCTGAGAACAGAGATAGGAGTCCCTCTACGCCTGCCCCCTGCCCATGTCACTGTGAACTAGCAGCACCAGCAGGTCAAGACGAAGGCACCAGCCTTCTGTGGTGGGCTGAATGGTGGTCCCCTCAAAAGGTATGTCCACTCGGAACCAGTGAATGGGATTTTATGTGAGAAGGGAGGCCTTTGCAGATGTAACTGGCACTGATCTCAAGGTGAAATCATCCTGAAATACCCAGGTGGGCCCTAAATCCCATGACAGTGTCCTAAGAGGCGACACAGAAGAAGGCCACGTGACCACAGAGGCACAGAATGCAGTGATGCAGCCATGAGCCCAGCAACGCCTGGGGCCACCAGAACCTGGACAGGGTGATGAAGGACTTGTCCCCTAGAGGCCCAGAGGGAACATGGCCCTGCCGATACCGTGATTGTGGACTTCGGGCCCAGGACGGGAGCCCAGGCTGCGGCACACCCCACCACCGCTGGGGCTCCTGGAACCCACCTTGGTCCATCCGGCCGATGGTGGTGTACTGAGCAGCCAGGTCGGCTCGGGCTGCTGGAGTGTCAGGGACGAAGTAAGGCACCTAGGGGGCAGGTGGGTGCGAAGTCACAGTTAGAGCAGGTCGGCTAGGGGGACGGGCAGACAGGGTGCTGGCCTTCCTCCCAGGGCCTGAAATCATCTTCCTTCCTGTGAATGGATCAGCTCCGAATTCTGGATCTGTTATTCCAGGTTTTTAAGCTTCTCTCTGCAGGCCCCACGGATGGGACCTGGATCCAATGAGTCAGAGGCTCTCTTCTAACTAGGTCACACACCTGGGTGGGACCAGGACTTCGAGCCCACGGGAGGGGTGCAGCTCCACAGATTTACAAGGCAGAGGAAGAAGGGCGTCTTAGGAACATGGGAGGGGCCCTCCTACCAGCACATCCTGTGGGTCATAGGTCTGGGGGGTCCAGTCTGGGATCCGCCCCATGCCGCTGTCCCCGTTGCCAAACTTCTCACAGAAGGTCCCGTACTGGGGCTGGGAGTGTCCGCAGCGGTGGGGGTCATGGAAGGCGACGTAGAGAAAGAAAGGCCTGTACCAGAGTGGGGGCGTGGATGCTGAGGCCAGCCGGCTCACACACCACCTGGCTTCCTACCCTGGGGAGCCCCGTTCTTCTGGAAGGAACATCCCTTGGCTTTGCCTCCTCCCCTAGCACTGAAAGTCTAGCCTCACTGCCTCAGTTTCCCCATGTCCCCTCTTGCTCTGACCAGATTAACTCGAGCCTCTGGAACCTTCTCTACCCCGACTCCACCATCTAGGGACTCCAATCCCAAATAAACACTCTGGGATGTGCGTCCCGGTAACTGAGGTCTGGCCGCGTGAGGAAGGGTAGGGGCAGGGGCAGGGGCCCTCCTCCCACCTGTCATCCTGAGTCTGCAGGAACTTGCGGACAAGCAGCTTAATTCTCGTGATGTTCCGCCCCACCTGGAGGACAGAGCCATTCTCCTCTGTGTACGCAAAGTCGAAGGGGTACACAGTCTCCGGCCCCACGTGCTTCTTCCCAATGATGCCTGGAGGTGGGAGACAGACCTGTCCAGGGCCCCTTCTGTCTCCCACACCCTCCGTCCCCTTCTCCGCCCCCCAAGCCCTGCCGTGGCCTCTACAAAGGCAGCCCAGGCCCCTGTTTTCAGGCCCCACCACCCAGCCAGGAGGCCGAGGTCCTCGGGGACAAGTGCTCAGAGTAGGCAACGCAGGGCTGAGGGTGGCTCAGGACAAGCCACCAGCCTGCCCCCCCACCACACCCCCGTGGCACCAAGCCCCTCACCTGTGCGAACGCCTGCTCGGCCGAGCAGCAGTGGCAGGCTCTGCACGCGGTCGAAGGAGTTGTAGTGGTGGACATCCTGGTGCAGGCCGTACATCCCGTTCTGATGCTGCTGGCAGAGACGCTATGAGTGAGCAGGGCTCTGGCCACGTGGGGGCCGCCCCGGGAGCCGCTGCGGGGCCCTGCGCCTGCCCTCCCCTGCTCACCACCCCCGCCCTGCTGGGACCCGATTCAGACTTCAGGTGGCGGCGCCCAGGGAGATCTCCACTTCTCAGTCCGCACCATAGGTCCCTCCCGTGGGACATCAGCAGGAAACAGACTGGGAGGATGGACACCAGCATTAGGAGGGGCTCTGATTTTCCTCCTTTTGCTTATCTGTACTTTCCAAATTTTCTATTATGAGCACACATCTTAAAGTGAAAAAGACAGCAGCAGGCCTCTTTTTATTAACTGGCTTCCTTACAGTGTGGAAGGAATAACAATTCCAGTAACAACTGCATGTTACAAGCTCAGACTAGAAAGATGTGAGGGGAGAAGGGAAAACCCCACCTCACACTGCGGCCCACTGCCCAGAGCGAGCGTGGGTCACAGCTGCCTGGTAAGCCTGTCGGGAAGTGTCTGTGCCCAGGCCACAGGTCCCCTCTTACGAAGGCCTGTCTCTCAGGTGGGGACGCACTGAGCTCACCTGCTCGCTATCAGATAACATCACGAGATAATATGTTCAGAGTAAGTGCCCGCACACACCCAGGTCCACAGCAGCACTATTCACAGCAGCCAAGGGGAGAAGCACCCAAGTGTCCATCGACAGATGATGGACAGACGAAATGTGCTATGTCCAGACCAGGGAGTATGACAGCCTTGAAAAGGAATGAAGTATGGACACACACGACAGCATGGATGACCTTGGGGACATTATGCTAAATGAAAACAGTCACAAAAGGACAAATCCCGTATGATTCTGCATCTGTGCGGTACAGTAGCCAAATTCAGAGAGTAGGATGGTGGCTGCAGGGGCTGGGTTAGGGCGAGGGGGACTTGGTTCACGGGCACACAGTTTCAGTTTGGGAAGATGAGGACGTTCTGGAGATGGATGGGGGTGATGGTGACACAACACTGCGAGTGTGCTTAATGCCCCTGCACTGTGCATGTACCCATGGTTAAGATGGTACATTTCATGTGTGTATTTCTAAGCACAATAAAAAAAGAATAAGTGGGCCGGCCGAGTGGCTCAGTTGGTTGAGAGCTCGCTCAAGAATGCGAACTCTGAGCAACAGGGTCGCCAGTTCGATTTGTGGCCCGAGCTGAGCTGCCACTGAGCTGCCAACAGGTGGCAGGATGGCTCAGCTAAAAAAACCCAAAAAAAACCAACCAAACAAGTGCCTTAAATGGCAGCTCCATCGTCATGTGAGCTCCTGGGACAGTATCATGATGGGAGTTAACATTGGGCAAGTGCATGCCAGACACCTAGTCACGTGTGGTACATACAAAGTGTAATTGGCCAACCCCACAATCACCCCACGAATGAGGTGCTACTATGGCCCCTTATTACAGGTGACGAGACTGAGGTGCTCAAAGGTAAGTGATTGGCTCATGGTCGCTCAGAGCTGTGGGGCAGGGCTCATGCGTGGGTCGTTGGGAGCCCCTCTCCCGCTGGGAGGGAAGATGGATGCACCCCCAGGGGAGACCAGGGAGGGGGCTCTGCCTCTTCCGTGCCCTGCTCCTGCCTCCTGCCGCCCTCACCTGTGGCAGTCCCGTGAGGAGGCTGGCGCGGCTGGGAGAGCAGCTGCTGACAGAGGTGAAGGCATTGCGGAAGGTCAGGCTGCGGCGGGCCAACGCGTCCAGGTGAGGGGTGGCGATGGCGCTGTTGTTGTAGGCGCCGCTCTCAAAGCCTCCGTCGTCGGCTGAGGAAGGTGGGAGACGCAGAGGGCATGGTGGGCTGGGCTCAGGAGCCACGTGTGGGAAGGGGGACCTGGGGACTGCCGCAGTGGCCGGGGCCAGTGGCGCCCAGTCGTGCTACCCGGGAGGGCATGATGGCCAGATGGGCCAGGTGGGCAAAAGCGGCAGCAGGCATGATGCCCGAGTGGGAACGCCGACAGTCAGGTATGGAACCGGGTGAGCACTGAGCAGGCAGGCACGATGCCCTGGTGGGCAGGGTGCTCGGGCCGGCGGCCTGGGCAGTGCTGGGCTCAGCAGACACTGCACAAAGAGGTGGGTCCCCGTGCAGACTCTCCCCCAGTGTCCCCGGGCGAGGAGGAGGTGACGGGGGCTCCCTCAGAGGAGTGTGCACGTTGCAATTAGCTGAAGGGCCTGGCCAGAGACCACAAAGTTAATCAGAAAACGTGACCCTGGCACAGGGCCAGACCTCAAAAGAGGAAACGACCCGGTTGCCTTGTGACAGCCTGGCTGGTCACTCAAGCGGGAAGTCTTGTGAACAACAGGGTGCTGGGGGAACTTGGGGTTTCTGGGAGGGGACGGGGTTGGGGAAGAGGGCGGGCGGGTAGTGCGGGGTGGCGGGGTGGAGAGCCGACCCACAGAGCTCTGGGGATCTGAAAACCTAGGGGAGGAGATGAGAACCCCAGGGCACTCTGGCTGGCCTCTGGGGACTTGGGCACCAGCCCCCCGTTTTCGGGCTGATCCCGTCTAGGATCTGTGGATCCGAGTCTTGGAAAGCGCCCTGCCTTCCGAGCTGGGGGCCCGCAGGGTTAGCCCTGGGGCACTGGGCACGCAAGGGGGTGCAGGGTCAGGGCCTGCTGCGGCAGTGGGGTGCTGAACGGTGGAGCCCACCCCTGCAGTCCCCACGGTGGGCGAGAACGCCCTGCCTTCCTCTCCGAGGAGCCGCCAACGAAGCGTCTGCGGGCAGCAGCGACGGGAGGCAGGGCGGGCTTCAGGGCCGGGGTCGGTACTGATCGCTGCTGGCGAAGGGCGAGCAGCTGCTCCGGGGGCGACAACAGGCGGCCGTGACGACGGCGCCCGGGGTGGCGGCGGGCTGGCGGGAGCGCACTCACCGAGGACCAGCAGCACGTTCCGTGGGCGCGCCCGGTGCGCGCGACACAGCCCCAGGGCGAGGAGCAGCGCCCAGCAGAGCGGCGCGGGGCGGCGCATGGCGGCAGCTCTCGGCCCCGGCGCTCCCCGCGGTCACGTGCGCGCCAGGCCCCGCCCCGGGCCGGGGGTCACGTGAGCGCCAGGCCCCGCCCCGGGTGACGTGGGCGCGGCCCCGCCCCTCGCTCCCCACCTCTGCGGTTTCTGGGACGGTCGCGGCGGCGACTCGGGGAGAGCAGGGACCACCGCGCCCGGTGAGTCTGCGGCGGGCGGCGGGACCCGGGGCGGGGTGGGCGAGCCGCTGGGGGCGACCGGGGTCGCCGGAGGTGGGGGGCAGCGTGGAGTCCGAGGGTGAGGGCTCCTTCCGCGAGGACCCCCGCTCCTCACCCACCGCGTCCCCACCCAGGTCCCCGCCGCTTTCGGCCTTGCTGGGGCCGGGGACAGCGCCGTCAGCCAGTGTGGGGTCCCCACCCTTAGACGCCGTGGTCGGGGCAAGGCAAGGGCTTCGGGGGTGGGCGGTGGGTTCTCTCCAGAGCAGCCCGCGGGGCCCAGGCAGTGGGGTGCTCTGGGGCCGACTCTGCGCGCAGGGGGCGCCAGGGCGCTAGAGGATGCTTGCGCACTTGGAATCCGTAGAGGGGTCTCTGACTTTTTCCCAGAACCAACTAGAGCCCTCGGGACCCCTCTAGGATTGCGAATGCCACAGGTGGGGGTTGGAGTAGGGCGCAGCCTCAGGATGGGAGATCCCCCCACCCGTGCCGCAGTCAGCCGTATTGGGGGGGGCGCCATGGTGCGCACTTGGAAATCTGGGGTCCTCAGGGCCTCCAGTCCCCCCACACACCCTGCCAGCTAGACCAGGGCGCCCCCGTACCCCGTGGACCTTGCCTCTCTCTGCACTGCTCCCTGAGGAGAAAGGGGTAAAAAAAAGGAAACATTGTCCCAGGAGGACAGACCTTGCGTGTCATCAGTGTTTAGGTTTCTCGTTGGGAAATCGCTTATGACTGTTGCGGACAAGCACTGATGGAGGGAGAGAAGGCACCTGGGGTTTGGGCCGCAGGGATTCAGGGAGGGCAGTGAGCAGGGGAGGGTCCTTTGGCACAGGCTGTTGGCTTCCTCTCTCAGAACAGCAAGGTTGGGGGATTTAACCCACCCGGCTCAGAGCCCCTCCAGCCCGGGGGGAGGGGGCGGGGGAGACGGACTGGACCTCTCCTGATGCCCCTGGACTCCCTCCCTATGGCTGGGTGTTCTGAAGCCCGGACCCTGACTGCTGGTCTGTGTCCCCCCATGCCCACCCCAGGAATGTCATCTTCTGTGAAGGCGCTGGGTCAGGCCAGGCCCTTGGGTGCCGGCCTGGCCCCGATGACCTGCTGCTGCTCCCTGGCGACCCTGCAGAGGTGGCTGCCCTTCCTGGCCTGGCTGCCCCACTACTCCCTGCAGTGGCTGAGGATGGACTTCATCGCTGGGCTCTCGGTGGGGCTGACAGTCATTCCCCAGGCACTGGCCTATGCGGAGGTGGCTGGACTCCCACCCCAGGTGAGGCGTCTCCCCCTGCTGGCTGCCCCCACGTCCCCTCCACACCGCCTGACCCCACTCTGGGCCGAAGTGCCTGCCCAGAAGCAGAGCAGAAACGCATGGTGTCACCTCCAGACAAGGGGGGCACCCAGGGCTCAGTCCCATGGGGCCAGAGAAACCTTGGCTTACAAGCTAGAGCATGTGACTGCCTTTGGGCGGACACACGCCCTGTAACTGCTCTTGTCACGCTGCCACACTGTCATTGGGCTAGCTCTGGATTGCTTAACGGGGCCAGCAGGATGGCTCATGGAGCTGTAAGCGCTTTCTCAGACGCACAGACCCGACGTAAGCACACGGGCCTTTGTGCTTTCGCAGGCGGGTAGGTAAAAGGTCCCCTCATCACTGCAGAGCCACAGCCGTGGGTAAGAGAGGGTGAGAGGTCTCCCTGCCTGTGGGAACCGTTGTGCTGCAAGTCCACAGTGGGCACCACAGAGCCGTGCTGAGACGGCGACCCCAGGGACCCGTGGGCGTGTCTCCTGGCTGCTCATCGCCCTCTCTCTCCAACAGTACGGCCTTTACTCTGCCTTCATGGGGTGCTTTGTGTACTTCTTCCTGGGCACCTCCCGGGATGTGACTCTCGGCCCCACGGCCATCATGTCTCTCCTGGTGTCCTCCTACACCTTCCACGAGCCCGCCTATGCCGTGCTGTTGGCCTTCCTGTCGGGCTGCATCCAGTTAGCCATGGGCTTCCTGCGCTTGGGTAAGATCTTCGGGCTTCTGCCGGGGGAGGGGTGCTGAGGTTCTCTTCTGGGGAACCGAGGCACCTGCCTCCTGGCGATGCCCTGCGCTCAGCATTTCCTTCTTCGCGTTCCAGGGGCCAACCCTGAGGGTGGGGGCACCCTCAGCCCCCAGCGCTTCCCTGTTGTGCCCAGGGCCTCAGACCCTAGCCTCCCCTTCCTGCTCTCCAAACCAGCCCACACAGGGTGTGCCGCCCACCAGTCCGTAGCCCCACTCCCACCCACACCAGCTCTCCCCGCCCACGTCCATGGTGTCCTCTGGGACCAGCTCACTGTTCTCTCTTGGCTGGTCAGGGTTCCTGCTGGACTTCGTCTCCTGTCCTGTCATCAAAGGTTTCACCTCTGCTGCTGCCATCACCATCGGCTTTGGGCAGATCAAGGTAAGGATGTTTGTTGGCACCGGGGTACCTGCTGGGTAGGAGGACCAGTATGTGCAGGCTAGTCCCCGTCCTGCTCCAGAGCTCAGAGCACAGCACTCGCGTGGGTCTCCATGAATACAGTGACCGCTTGGGGAGGTGTTGAGTGATGGTCAGGTTGCACAGCAGTTAACTTGGGAGGCCTGTAATGACAGCCCCTGCTCTTGTCGGAGGTTTTACGCCAGGGTGCTCGGTTCACCTCCTGGAGTGGTTCTGTTCTGCTGCCCTCACCGGGCACGAGCATACCGCCCCATTTCAACCAACAAGCGACTCCCCCACGCTAATTTAGGTAGGCGGTTTCATTTTTGCTTTTTCCAATTTCTGTTTAATATTTTTCGAATGCCGTTCTTCTTTTTATTTCTATTTAAACATCTGTAAGAAGTACTGGAATCAGTGATTGCTCTTTATCTGAGAATGTCATTTATTCTCCTTCCACTGGGCTTTAAGTTCCTGGAGGCAGGAACTGCTTTGCTGTGCGTGGCATAAAGTAGCTGTGTGCTCAGCTGGGTGTGCTGAACTGTACAAATGAAGCCTAGGGGCCCCTGGTGGCAGACGCAGGGCCATGCCCGTGCCTCGTGACCTCGGGTCACCACCCCAGCCTCTCCAAGCCTTGGTTCCCAGGGCCAGGCTCTGCTCCAGGTTGGCCTGTGAGTGAGTCTCCCCCAGTGGAGGAGACGTGTGTGGGAATAAAGGAGCTGATGATTCTGTGTTCTTCCTGTGTGCGAGGTACTGGGTTACACACTTTCCCTGCGTTTAATTCTCACAACACCCACGGGAGGTAGTTTTACCATTACCTCGGTTTAGAGAGGAGGAAACAACTTAAAAAGGTGAGGGTGAAGGCCACTTAGGTGTTAGGTACACACGTCAGGGTAAGCTTGGCAAATGCTGTTTGGTGGGACGGCCTGTTCTTTATTCTGGAAACCGTATCCTTTGTTTTTAGTGTCAAGAATGTTCTTTCATACGATCACAATGCACGTGGAGGGTGTCTTCTGTATGCTTCGGTACTTAGAGACCCTGGGCCCCTGAAGTCAAGGACATGACAGCCGTCTGAGAGCCCCTGGGCTTGGTATGGGTGGGGGTCCTCGTGGGTGTCCACCCACCCCGGTGCCCTTCCCCTTGGGGGTCTGAGTACGATGGGTTTTGGGGCCCAAGGACCGAGCTGGCCGCCTGGAGTCGGGGCCTCCAACGCCCCCAACCCGGTCTCAAACGGGATGAAGAATTAAAGCAGAGTGGAGCCCCTTTTTCCTCCCGAGGACCCCTGAAGGCCGGGATCACGGTGGGAAGCCCGGGCTTGGCTGGGGAGCCGCTTCCCTGGACGCCCTCGGAGCCCTCGGGGCGGTTCTGCCCATCGGCCGTGATTTTTCCTTCCGGCAGAGGGTGGTGCCAGTGGGCGGGCCTCCGGGTGGTAAACGCGGCCTTGGGCCAATGTCGGTGGGGCCTGCACAGCGGGGGGCGGGCTACTGAGTGACCGACGTAACCATGAGCCAATGACAACAGTCTGCGCTGTGGGCTGCGGGCTGGACCCCTGACTAGGGCGGGTCAAACCTGTTGCCGGGACTGATTTTCCTCAGAAATGAAAATAACTTGTCATTGACCGCAGACGTTGTGAAATGCCCTTCCCCGGGATAACTTTGATCTGTCCTCTGGGGCTTTGGAAGGAGCAGGTGGTCCCTGGAAACCCCTGAGACGTGCCCCCAGGAAGGGCCCCGGGGGAGGGGCTTCAGGCCTTATTTGGGGAAGGTTGGCTGACCCGAGTCTCTGTTTGAACAGAACCTGCTGGGACTCCAAAACATCCCCAGGCAGTTCTTCCTGCAAGTGTATCACACCTTCCGCAATATTGGAGAGACCAGGTACCCTGCTGGCTTTGTTTCTGTTCCCCGTGAGGAAGCTCTTCTTCCAGGCCGCCCTCTGGCCTCCTTTCCTTCCGCTTCCGGGTGGCATTTATTCCATCACCCGGGGCCTTGCTGCTCCAGCAGTGGTCCCCAGAGCAGTGCCACCAGCGTCACTGGGGAGCTGGTTAGGCTCACAGGTCTCTGGTGGGCCCCGACCAGCTGAATCAGGGTTCCCGGGCCCAGCTGGTCCGTGTGCACCTGGAAGGATGAGATGTTCTGCTCGAGGCAACCTGAGGGCCGGACGCTGTGAACCCAGGCAGAGCTGCCTTGGGCGGTAGAAGTGGGAAGAGACGTGCAATAGAGAAACAGCAGGCAGTCTGTCTCGCAAAAGGTTCGTAGTTCAGTGAGGAAGACCGAACACGGGGCATGGGGAAGGCAGGTGCCCGGGGACGGACAACAGGTGGAGCAGTGGTGAGAGCTAGGCAGCTGTTCGTGGGGTTCCTGCATCAAGCACTTCCCTCAGATGGAGGCCCCCCCCCCCCCGCCCCAGAGGGCGGGCAGGTTAAAGGGACAAGCAGGAGATGCTCCTAGGTGAGTCCAGCTGGACCCAGGACACCTCTCTGGCTGGAGGAGCGAGAGAAAGAAATGAATGCTCAGGGGTTCGCATAGGGGGTGCTGCCCGCTGGGGCCTGGAGGGAGTGGGGGAGTCCCTGTGACCTTCTCTCCTTCTGATCTGTGGCTGAGGCCTCCCCAGGGCTGAACCTACTGGAAGCCAGGGGCTCCCTGACCCAGGCCATGCCACCGGTGGGGGTCAGCCTCCTGGGGGCAGCAAAAGTGGAGACCTACTGGGTGGAGCGCATCATAGGCTGTCAGGAGTGAACCTTCTAGAACAGACGAGGCACGTGTAGCCCAGAGAGCTATGTGAAAACTTGCGCTTGTGGCCCTGCTGCCGTGATCGCGGCCTTGACTCCCAGTCCTGCACGGGCCTGTGTACTTACTGAGTTTTGAAACAAGCGTTGAAATAGATTTCTGAGGAGAAAGCAAAAGAGCAGTCGAGAGAGAAAGCTCTCCAGCAGAAGTGGCCGCCGTGGGCCAGGAGGCGCGTGCCGCTGGCCAGGTGGGGTGGTGACCGGCGTCTGTCTGCAGGGTGGGCGATGCTGTGCTGGGGCTGGTCTGCATGCTGTTGCTGCTGCTGCTGAAGCTGATGAGGGACCACACGCCTCGCGTGCACCCCGAGATGCCGCTTGGCGTGCGGCTTAGCCACGGGCTGGTTTGGACCGCCACGACAGGTGAGGGGCCTCCTGGCTGGGGAACCACTCCCGCAGCCATGCTGCACAACCTGGGCTGCAAGCTGTGTTCGCCCTAGGAGCCCCGAGCCCCACTCCTAGAAGTTCTCATGTCACTGGTCGGGGCGTGACCTGGGCACCTGGATGTTTGAAACCCACTGGTTCTGATACGCAGCCAGGGCTGATAACATTGTGCAGCTAGAATTCTCAGGTGCCTTTGCCCCCAGGGGACATTTGGCAGTGTCTGGGGACATATTTGGTTGACACTACTGCACAAGGCTCCTATTGCATCCAATGGGAAGAGGCCAGGGGAGCCGTAAGCATCCTGCAGCTGCTGTGAAATCCAGCCAGCACAGCCTCCCACCGCAAAGAACGATCTGGCGCCAAGTGTCAGCAGTGCTGAGGTCGAGCGAGAGACCCTGGTGTGTGGGCAGGTCCCTCGGGGAGACAACAGATGCCACCGAGGCCAACTGCTGGAGGAAAACTTTGCTTCCAGGGTGGAATCAACAGTTTCCATAAAGAAAGTCTGCAGTGAAGGGTTCGTGTGGCATCGCTGGTTGAAGGGCCATCTCTGGGGAGGTGGGGACCTCTCATCAGCAGTCCCTGTGGCTGAGCTGCCAGTTGGTGACATCCAGAGAGGAAAGCAGGGACAGGAGCTGGGGTGTGGGTAGCTACTGGACTTTCTCAGAGCTGAGCGGGAATGGAAATCACCCCGCTCTTGGCCCCTTGCTTCTACCGCCATGAAACCCAGTCAGCTGTAGGCGGGAGGGGGTGCTAGATCAGTCACTCAGTCACTTCCAGCCGCCAGTCCCCAGAGTTGCTTACCAGACCCTGCTCTGCAGACGGAGGCTGTGAGTAAATGCTGAGAGCTTGGAGGGTGGAAGGGCAGCACGCTTAGGCTGAAAACACCTGGCTTCGAGTCCCCTTTTCGCCACTTACCTGGCATTTGGTCCAGCCCGAGTCCCTTGACAAAGTGCCTGAGATTTAGGTCAGGCATCTGTAAATGAGTGGAAATAGGCAAATAGTCTGTTCTCTAAAATCTCGATGCTCAAAGTGTGGCGTCAGACCAGCAGCCTCGACATGCCCTGGGACCTTGTGGGAGATGCAGACTCTCAGGTCCCGCCCAGGCCTTTGAGTCTGCACATCAGCGTGCTGGTCATCTGACCCGTGGCCACGCTGCAGCCTGAGGACTGCCGCCGTCCCCTCTCCAGAACGGGTAGCATCATCTTCAGAAACTACTGACCAAGCTTCAACTGTTTGTTTTTTAAGTCACCGTTTAAGCTTCTATTTTAGCTGAGTGAGGACAGGTTAATCTGAGCAATACCTTGTGTTTGTTTAGCACTTAGTAGGAAATTTGTTTCACAATTTGTACCTCCCCTGAGCCCCATTACGCCGTTGTGAGGTAGACAGAACACTTGTCACTTCCCCCCTCTTGCAGATGAAAAGGGGAGCCTTGCAGAAGTTGAATGAGTTGTAATCTGACAAGTAGTGATTTATGGCTTATAAAGCACTTGACAGACATACTGCTTTTGATTCTCATAAATGTCTCCAGGATTGGATATCACTTTCCCCATTTTGGCTCTGAAAGGTAAAACAGACAAACCAAAGGAGACCTCTCAAATCACACAACTAGGACAGAGCAGAGCGAGGACTTGCCCCCAGGTGATCTGCCTTTTTTCCTAATCAGTGGATCTAGAAGTTTGTTGATTGTATTGATCTTCTCACAGAACCAACTTTTGATTTCATTGATCTCAGTATTTTGTTTTCTAGTTCATTGATTTTTGTTCTGGTCTTCATTATTTTCTTCCTTCTGCTTGTTTTGGGCTTACTTTACCTGTCTTTTTAAATTCTTCAGATGGAAGTTAAGGACTTTGAGACCTTTTTCCTTTTCTACTATATATAGATGTTTAGTGCTGTAAATTTTCCTCTTGGTACTGCTTTAGCTGCATTCCACAATTTTCATAGGTTGTGTTTTCATTTTCATTTAGTTCTAAAAACTTTAATTTCCATTTTGACTTCTCCTTTGACTCATGAATTATTTAGAAGTTGATTATTTAATTTCTTCCTTCAATCGGGGGGGCCATTTTGGAGTTATTTAGTTTCAAAGATCTGGAGATTTTCCAGTTAGTATTTTGCCATTGATTTCTATTTAATTCCATTGTGGTCAGAGAACATACGTTGTATGTACATACACATATCAAATTATAATTTTCTCTTGAAATGATCCTCTTTGTCCCTGATATTGATACAGTTACTCCAGCCTCCTATGAGTTAGCACATATTTTCCCACTCTTTTACTTTTAACCTATTTGTGTCTTTATGTTTAAAGTGTTTTTGTGAGAAGTGTGTAGATGGGTTTTGTCTTTTACGTCACTCTGACAATCTGCCTTTTAACTGGGGGTGATACCTCTTACATGTAATATGACGATCGGTGTGTTTGGTTTCTGCTGTTTGTTTCCTGTCTGTCTCGTTTGTCCTTGGTCCCCTGTCTACAGTCTTTTGGATTGAGTATTTTCTGATTCCCTTTTATTTCCTTCATTGGCTTATGGACTGTACCTACAGTGTGTTTTTTTGTTTTTCTTTGTTAGTGGTTGCCTTAGGGTTTATGGTATACCTCTTTATCTTATTGAAGTATTTATTCAACTTCCCGTTGATACAAGAACCTCATGGCAAGGACACACCCATCTCTCCCTTGTTTGCCTTTGTGCTACCCTTGTCACTGTTCTTCTTCAGCTCTGTTGTAAATGCCACAGTAATCGTTATTAGCTCACTTTAAACACGCCCTTACTTTTAAGGACAAAGCCTTTTCCATGTACCCACATCACCACTCGCTTTCTGGTGGCCTTCATTTCTGTGTATAGCCTCAGGCTCTCATCTCTGTCAGTTTCCTTCTGCCTGGGGGACCTTTACTGATTCTTGTAGTGCAAGCCTGCTGGTGATGAATTCTTCCGGCTTTTATGGGAGTCTTTACTTTGCTTTCATTTTTGGAAGGTAGTTTTTCTGGATAAAGATTTCTAGACAGGTTACCCCCCCACACCCCCTTCATACTTTAAAGATACGATTCTATCTTCCAACCTTTTATGACAAGAAGTTTGCTGTCATTCTTTTATGACAAGAAGTTTGCTGTCATTCTTATCTTTGTTCCTCCATAGATGGCCTTTCTCTGGCTGCTCTTAAGACATTCTGTTTATCACTGATTTTAGGCAGCTTGACTAAGATGTGCCTAGTTGTCGTTTTTTGTTTTTTTCATGTTTTTTTGTGCGTGGGATCCATTGAGCTTCTCGGATATGTGAGTGCACTTTTCATCAAATTTGCTATTCAGCTGTTATTTCTTCAAATCCTCGTACTGGCCCCCTACACCGCCCCACGGGCTTTTTTTGTAGACTCTCATACATGTAGATCAGCTACTTGAAATGGTTCCTCAGCCACTGATGCTCTGTACGATTTTTTAACCTTTACTTTCCTCTATGTGTTTGATTTTGGATTGCTTCTATTGCCACATCTTCAGGTTCACTGGTCTGCAATAGCTGATCCATGGTTAATCCCACCCAATACAGTTTCATTCCAAACATGGTTTTCATTCCTAGAAGTTCGTTTTGGGAGGTATATGTAGACCATTGTCTCATGGTTTGCCCAGTGGTTAGCTGTTTCAGGCAGCAGGGGAAGCCGGCTCTGTTACTCCATCTTGCTTCAGAGCAGAATTGCCCTGGGAGACATCTGATCTCAAAGTGTGTTTCCGGCTGTGCCGTCGGCTGTGCAGTCACTGGTGACCAGTGGAACCAGTGGATGACGTGCGTACTGGCCCTGTGGTTGCCCCTCCTCTGTCCTACCTTGGTGCATTTTCCACAGTGTCATGGGTTCACGCCGGCCACGTGCTGTCTTGTATCCGTGTGTTCCCCAGGCTGGAGTGGACGAAGTCGTTGCTGGGGGATGTGGGGGTCTTCTGCTTCCTTCCCCAGAGGAGCCAGGTTTCACTGACAGGCCTCTCCTTCTGTCCTAGCTCGCAATGCCCTGGTGGTCTCCTTTGCTGCTCTGGTCGCGTACTCCTTCGAGGTGACTGGATACCAACCTTTTGTTCTAACTGGGAAGATAATCAAGGGGCTCCCTTCAGTCCTGACCCCTCCCTTCTCAGCGACCACTGCCAACAGGACAGTTTCCTTCACTGAAATGGTACAGGTGGGTAGAAACGGGGAGCCAGGCCAGCTTGGCAGAGGCCACAGTGGCCCCTGGGCCTGGTTCTGTGCCCCGGATGCATCTGCTTAGTGACAGGGAGCTCTGGGCTCGGCTGGGACTGCTAAGTCCTTGGGAAACGGTGTCTCTGGGTGCAGGGACAGGCAGGAAAGGCTTCCATGTTGGACCCCACGTTTATCTTTCTGCCTCAAGCCCAGGGGTGGTCCTGCTCTGTGGACACTGGTGGGTGCACAGGAGTTTGCTGTGTTGTGCTCGGTGTCCTGTTTCTGGTACAATGAGTGTGTGGGAGCACATGGCCCTGGAGTCCGCATACGGGCTCTGTCAGACATGGAAGGGCCGGCGTCTGCCTTGGCGGTCACTGCCTGGTCAGACCCCTCCCCTCCTTCCCCAGAGGGTCACTTACCGTGCCACTCTCTTCTCCCAGGACATGGGGGTCGGGCTGGCTGTGGTGCCCCTGATGGGTCTCCTGGAGAGCATTGCAGTTGCCAAATCCTTTGGTAAGATCCCACCACCCACACCCTCCCTCGCGTCCCAGCCTGAAGCCCCACCTGCCTCGCTTGCCTGCTTTCTTGCTTGCTTTTCATCTGTTTGGATTTTTAAAATTTTGAATTTTTATCCAAGTAAAACAGTCTCGTGTTTTTTTTTAAAAAATCTATAGTAGAAATGGATTTGCAATGAAAGCCCTTTCCAGTGGTGGCTTCTAAATGTTTGCAAGCCTGCTGTCTGTGGAAACGCAAATCTGCCTAAACATGTCGAATTTGTCCTGAGTCCCTCCGTGTGCATTAAGCCTGCTCAGCCCTTCACGTGTCCCCTCCCTTCCCTCTCAGGGCTGCTGGGCAGTCCGTTTTGGCTTGTCCCCATGGATGGCATTTTCATTCTGTTCTGTAACATGGTTTAGTCACCCTGTTTGGGTGTAGGTTGATTCTAAGGGTTAAAACCTAATAAATGGTGTGTGTGATTACCACTACGTAAATCGTGTTTATTGCCCAGCCCAAACTGTGCCAGGATTACATTTTTTTCTCCAGAGTTCCAGCATCTTGACCCTTACACTGTTCCAAGGAGACTCTTAACTAATGTCCATTGTTAAGGGTTTTCCTTTCCAAACGCCAGCGGTCTCTCAAGGTCACACCGCATTTCAATATGGAATATGTCCAGCTCTCACCTTTCTTCATTTTTTGTTTTGCTTGTTTGGTTGTTTTTCCTGGGGGGTGGGGGTGGGGGGATATCTTGCAATTTACATCCTACAGACTTTACACCTCTTGTTCATTACTTACAAAACTTGCCACTTTCTTTTGAAGTCAGCTGACACCTCCTTCCCTAATTTGTAAAGCTTGCCACTTTCTGAAATCAGGGCTTGTAAACCACAGCCTAAGAATAGCTTTTGCATTTTTTAAATGTTTGGGGGAAAAAGTCTAAAGGAGGTTGGCAATTTGTGACCCATGAGCAGTATATGAAATTCATATTCAGCTCACAAATAAGGTTCTGTTTGCCTTGCTGTCTATGTACGTGTTGTCTGTGGCAGCTTCGTGCTACAAGGGCTAGTTGAGTGGTTGCAACAGAGAGTGTGGCCTGCAAAGCCTAAAATATTTACGGTCTGGCCGTTTACAAAAATAGTTTACCAGCCACTTTTATATCCTACCCCTCCCCATACCCCGACATTTCCCCCCAAATCTTTGCCTACTCATCTCCCTGCGATGGCCTTGGCTGTGACTTCCTAGCCATCTTGGCTGGTAATCAGAGAGGTTTTTAGTTTAAAACTTTTTCCCTTACTATAAAGGCAATACATGTTTGTTGTAAAGTTGAGAAATGCGTAAAGAAGAAATCGCTTGTAATCCTCCTCAATCCCCAGTTAACTGCTGTTAACATTCTGCTGTACATTTCCTACCCTTTTTCTGAAACAGACACGAATCTGTATACACTTGCTTACGTGTGTGTGTTTTCTATGTGTTTATACACTTATAGTTACAAACCTTACATGCTGTAGGTATAACTTTGTAGCCTGTTTTTTTTTCATTCCATGAACATTTCCTTAGTGATACCATTTATCTAGTGACAATGTTTTTACTGTTCCTTCTCTTTAGCATCTCAAAATAATTACCGCATCAATGCTAACCAAGAGCTGCTGGCCATCGGTAAGATCACCACGTCGCTCCCACGAGGTCTGCGCATTTCTCTGTGTCCCACTCGACTTGGGCCCTTTTGCAATATTAGAGTGGCCTTATCCTCAGATGTCCCAATGATTCAGTTTAACCGCTCGGAGTGAGTAGGGAGCTGGCATCCGGTGTCCGTGCTGACTGAAGCTTATGGGGCGCCTGCTGTGTACCGGGCCCCAAGGTCAGGGGGGCCTGTTCTATGCCAGGGGTGCCTAGAACGCTCCTCCTGGGGCCAGATTGCTGAAGAACGTGGCTAAGTGGAACCTCAGGTGAGCCTGCTGACTCCGCGGGACCCTGAGTGCCTTAGCCCGCCTGGTGGCCTCCGTCCAGGCCAGGCAGGTGGGTTGGTGAAGCCCGCAGCAGGCCCCAGGCTGCCTGACTGGGTAGGACCTGTGCCGCTATCACACTTCGTTTTCTCCTGTCTTCATAACTCTGGCCTCTTTTTCGTTTTGAGACCCCAGTGTGAATCTTTTTTTTTTTTTTTTTTAAAGATTTTTATTGGGGAATTGGGGGGATGGGAACAGTGCTGGGGAACCGGGGGAAGGGGAACAGACAAGCCGCTGTCGTCTTGTTCTTCAGTCCAGTTGTGGAGGACATTGCTTCACTGGCCCAAGTTGGCACCACCACCGCGCTCTTCCCGGGCGAGGCAGATCAGTCGCCGGCTTCTGGACGGCCGCTCACGCTGGCTGCTGGCCGCTCACGCTGGCTGCTGGCTACACACAGTAGCCCGTGGCAACCCACTGCCACAGGGGCTGCAGCCCACGCCATCGCCGGTGACTCAGGGCAGCCCAGCTCCAGGTTGAGCTGCTGTTCAGCATCTCAGCTGCAGAGGGCAGTGTCACCGGCCCTCACATGCGGGATCCGAACCGGGGTCCTCTGGCATCCCAAGCCAGCTCTTAACCATTGCGCCACTCAGCCAGCCCCCCAGTGTGAATCTTAAATTCCGTTATCATTACTGTTTTCAATTTCGTGGGTGCCCGGCCTTCCTGCCTTTCCCCGCTACCCCTCATGAGGCGGGCACAGGTCTAACCAGTGGCACTGCTGGGTTCCGTCCTCCCAGGCGACTTCATGACAGCGTTTAGGACCCCAGCCCCTGGGCTTACTCGACAGCAAAGGGCATGGGACCCAGGACGGGCTGCACAGGGATGTTGCCGGCGCCCCTCTTTGAGCTCACGGTGGGTGGGGTGTTGGTGGAATCAGGGTGGCCTGGGGACTCCTCGCCCCAGGGAAAGTCTGACGTCCCCAGGTGCCCACCAGTAAATGGTCCAAATGTGAATTCTCAGAGCTGTCATTCCCACTTCTACAAATAGCGCAAAGTCCTCCCCTGATGGCTATCAACCTAGACAGAAGCGACAAGCCAGGGTGGACATGTTGACCTTGAAGGCTGCTGACCCCGTGGTGTCACAGGCCACGCAGCTTGTGGCAAGTGCAGGGCAGGAGGCAGACACAGACCCCATAGACTGCTGGCGCTGGGAGGGGTCCGCCTGTCAGAAGCTTCGCTCAGAGCTGGGTCTTGAGTCCAGTGGAGCTGGTGTAAAAAGTCAGGGCGACCACGTGTGGCCTTTGCCGTACCTGCTGACGTTTGGCCTGCTTTCGGTATGAGCTGGGCTGCAGGACCCAGGAGGGCCTGGTTCTGAGTGGGCCCTGCCTCAAGCCGTCTTGAGCGCAGAACTTGAACCTGGGACCCTGTTGTGGGCTCTCTGGAACCGGGAGACCGTGTCTTTGTGAAGTCCCCAGATAAGATGGATGCTGGCGGGCCGATTGTGATAAACGTGGGCTCATTAGCTTGGTTCTTAGGTCCCAGCCAGGCCGTGGGCATGAGTTCTGTCCAGTGTGGGTTAATCAGCGTCACATGGGGAAGACAGCTCACTAGCCATGACCTTCGGCCCATCAATTCGTTGGAATGTGGAGGACGCCAGCTGACTTCCCGGGCACTTCGGGCCCACCTGTGGACACATTTGCCTTACTCGGCCATTCCCCTCCTGGGGAGGTGGGTTCCTCTCTCTGTCAAACGTGGGCAGAAGGCGTGTTCAGCTCACGTAGGCAAGGCCGGTCAGAGTTACGTTAAAGCCAGAGAGCCAACTTGGCAAAGACCTCGGTTTCCTTTGTCCTCCGTGAGAGAAAGCATCAGAGCTGGGACGGCCCCAGGCGACTCCTCCCACCTGCTATCTTTCCTTCCCTTCTGGTTCTGTCTCCCTTCCCCTCCCTTATAAACCTGTTTTTCTATTTTCTCCTGAGGCCTGACCAACACGCTGGGATCCTTCGTCTCTTCCTACCCGGTCACCGGCAGCTTTGGACGGTGAGTGACCACCTTCCTTCTCTGTGTCTCTGGGGAGGTCCCAGCCAGGCCGCTTCCCCTCGCTGGGCCCTGCCCACACCCCTCACCGTTTCATCCTCCGGTTACGGGGCTGCCAGTGGCCCTTGGTCAGCTGGTCCACAGGAGGGGCCCGCCCTGCTCCCCTTCAGCATCTCACTGGTTTTCTTCACGCCCGTATATGGCGCTGCAGATGAATACTAAAAAGTACCAGGGGCAACGGTGTGCCCAGCGTCTTGGTGCCAGGACTGATCCTAAGGAGAGTGGCGGCGGGAGGCACCGCAGGTCTGCCTGAAGCAGGCGCGTGGGTCACGCAGGCGCCGTGGTGGCCTGGCTGTAGGGCCTTCCGTGGGGCGGGAGCGCAGGACTGGAGGTGACCTGTGGGGAGGGGAGCAAAGGAGGCTCTGGCGGCGCTGGCCAGGGGCCGAGTCCCCAGAACCGCTGACCCAGCCTGTCTGACATCCCCGAACCACTGCGTCTGAGGGACGCAGGACACACTGCCCCGCCTCCCGCACCTCGGGGTGAGGGGCCCGCCTCAGTTCTGTGGAAGGCTAAGTGAGAAGCGCGTAAGGCGATGCCGGGGACGTGGTAGGTGCTCTGTTAATGTTTGAAATAAAACCTCTACCGAATTTTTTCAATTGAACTCTCCACATGTCTCGTTGGCATAACTAGATCACAAGCCTATTCAGTTAAGAGCGTGTTTCTGTACCCCCAAGAGTCTGCGGAGTACCTTGCATGTAGAGGGCACTGAAAACATTCTGTGACTATTTAACGAAATGTCCGCCTGACTCCATAGAAGTGCACGGTGACTTAGGGGAAGCTTTCTGTGGGGGTGTACAGACAGACAAGCTTAACTCCCCGAGGAGCTACAGTTGGCACAAGGTCAAGGTTAGGGGCTATTAAGAGGTGCGTACGAGGCCGAGTCCTGCATTGTTGGAGTCACGTCGTGGCACCTTTGTGGCCTTCATGGTGGCAAAGGACCAGTTCTTTGGCAGAGAAAGCCTCCCTGGCATTTGGTCTGAGTGCAGTTTTCCAAACAGGCCATATGAGAAAGGAACGTCAAAAAAGAACAAAACTAACTTCCAGTTCTAGCACCAGACAAACCCCGGTTTGGACGTTGGTGTTTCTCTTTTCAGTCCATACAGATATACGTGTGTGTGTGTGTGTGTGTGTGTGTGTGTGTGTCTGTGTGTCTGTGTGTGTGTCTGCATGCATATGTGATGTGTGATCAAACAATATGGTGAATATTTAAATTAAAAAATTTATTACAGTAAAAGACATTGCCATTAATCCTCCTCAAAATAGTCTCCTCGCTTCGAACTCACTTATCCCACTGTTGTTGCCACTTTCTGAAGCAGTTCTGGAAGTCGTCTTTCTTTTCTTTAGGGGCACTGACGTGGCTGCCTCAATGTCCTGAATCGATTCAAAATGTCTACCTTTCATGGCCATTTGGACTTCAGGGAAGAGCCAGAAGTCGCACAGTGTCAGATCCGGAGAATAAGGTGGATGAGGACACACTGTGATGTTTTTATTTGACAGAAATTGCGGTACCAGAAGCAATATGTGACATGGAGCCTTTCCGTTGTGATCACAAAATATGGTTAATGCTGCTGCCGAGTGCCATCCAGCAGAAAGGCAGGGATCTCCAGTACGGGAAGCAGCGTGTTAAACCTTAGTAACAGTGTGTGACAAGTTTCAGTTTGTTCGGTGCAGTCAGTTGGGTGTGAGCTACGGTTGAGAGAAGGTGTGTTTTAAAATGTGCCGTAGGGCCGGCCCAGTGGCGCGATGGTCAGGAACTGGCTTGGGATGCCAGAGGGCCCCGGTTCGGATCCCACATATGAGGGCCAGTGACACTGCCCTCCACAGCTAAGATGCTGAACAGCAGCTCAACCTGGAGCTGGGCTGCCGAGAGTCGCCAGCGATGGCGTAGGCTGCAGCCCCTTGGCAGTGGGTTGCCATGGGCTACCGTGTGTAGCCAGCAGCCAGCGTGAGCGGCCAGCAGCCGCAGTGAGCGGCCGTCCAGAAGCCGGCGACTGATCTGCCTCACCGGGGAAGAGCGCAATGATGGTGCCAACTTGGGCCAGTGAAGCAACGTCCTCCACAACTAGACTGAAGAACAAATCAACAGCAACTTGTCTGTTCCCCTTCCCCCAATTCCCCAGCACTGTTCCCATTCCCCCAATTCCCCAATAAAAATCTTTAAAAAAAAATAAAATGTGCCGTAAATCATCCTCTATTATGACAACGCTCCGTGTCACACACCGCTTCTGGTATATGGCAATTTCTGTCAAATAAAAACATTACGGTGTGTCCTCATCCGCCTTACTCACCGGATCTGGCACTGTGCGACTTCTGGCTCTTCCCCAAAGTCAAAATGATTCAGGACATCGAGGCAGCCTCGACAACGCAACTAAAGACACTTACGAAAGAGGACTTCCAGAGCTGCTTCAGAAAGTGGCAAGAACGACGGGATAAGTGTGTTCAAAGCGAGGGGGATTAATGGCAATGTGTCTTTCTCTGTAATACATTTTTTTTATTTAGACATTCACCGTATTGTTTGATCACACCTCGTACGTGTTAGGTGGGATTCCCCACACTTGACAGCATCGTCAGCAACTTTCCGAAAAAATAAGCACCTCCGTCGTCATTTCTGACGATGGTGGGAACCCCGTGGTATGGAGTGTGCCATTTTCCCGGATCTGCCGTAACAGCACAGACGGGGCGGCTTCACCCACAGACACTTGTTTCCTCACAATTGGAGGCTGGAAGCCTGAAGTCGCGGTGCCGGCGGGTTGTCTTCTCCTGAGGCCTCTGTCCCCGGCCTGCAGACGGCCACTTCCCGCTGTGTCGCCACGCGGTCTTTCCTCTGTGTGCGTCCTCGTGCCTGATCTCCTTGTCTCATAAGGACACTGGGCAGGTTGGGTTAAGAGCCTTGTCTTGACTTAGTCACCTCTTTAAAGGCCCTGTCCCCAAATAGTCACATTCTGAGGTGCTGGGGGTGAGGGCTTCAGCATGAGGATTTGAGGGGGAGGAGCACAGTTCCGCCTGCGACAGGGAGTTTGGTTCAATGAGCCTGTTGGATGTTTGGATTTACGATTAGGCCCCTCTCGGATGTGCCCATGGGTGGTTTCAGGTTTATTTGTGAAGGTCCAGGAAGTACCCCTCTGGTGACAGGACCCCAAAACCCCTTTGTGTTCCTGAGCCACATGCTGATGTGGGTGGGGCCCGATGTCCCCTCTGGCGCCTGCCCCACGGCGCCCCTGTCCTGGAAGGCCAGCGCAGCTGTGTGGACTGCCTGCTCCCAAAGCCACTGACCCGTCTCTGTTGCTTTCCAGGACGGCTGTGAATGCCCAGTCGGGGGTATGCACCCCAGCGGGGGGCCTGCTAACGGGTGAGCACCCCCCCCACACACAGACTGTGCCCCCCTTGTGCCGTGGCCGTGAGCTGGGGGGAAGGAGGCGGGGACCATGGTGCTGTCGGCTCTGGCACCCGGCTGTGTCCCCCAGTGCAGGGCCGGGCCCCCCAGGCAGGCTCCTCGCTTGCTGGGTGGGAGTTGGGGTGACAGGGCCCTGATGTCACCGGTGTCCCCGCTCCACAGGAGCCCTGGTGCTGCTGTCGCTGGACTACCTGACCTCGCTGTTCTACTACATCCCAAAGGCCGCGCTGGCGGCCGTCATCATCACGGCCGTGGCCCCGCTGTTCGACGCCAAGATCGTCAGGACGCTCTGGCGCGTGAAGAGTATGTATTTCCTCACCTGTCAGCATGAGGTCATCAGTTGTTCCCCCACCGCCTTCCCCAAGCCACGGGCTGGAGCTGGAGGCTCACGGAGCTGGGAGGTGGCAGTGCGGGGCCCTGGTCAGGGCCGCCTGGGAGAGGGGCCTCCCCTCTGCCTCCCCACCTGGCACCTGCCGGGGAGCGCCTGGGGACATTGGGATGGCCAGCAGGGACGAATGTAACAGCCCCCGTGTCCACCAGTCACAGTGGCTCAAGGATTCCCTGGACCAGCAGGTTCCCTGAACGTGACAAGTTTTTGTTTCCTTTTGTTCATCGAAGCAGTTAAGGGGTTTGCCTAGCTTACCTGGCTTCTTTCTGGTCAGCCCCCCCGCAAGTTAGCAAGTGGAAGGAACGATGACTTTATCCCGTGCCTGTCACGTGCCAGGGCCTTTCGTATGTCATTGCAACGCATCTTTGAACAGCCTCGTGTTGCTGGCCTTCTGTGCCAAGGCCCAGGGAGGGTTGGGGCCTTTCTGAGTGACGTGTAGGGGTTCAGATCTAGGACTGACCCCCAACCCGCCCACTTTGCCCCAGGACACCTTCTACTGCAGCTCAGAGAAGTCACAAGTCTCATCTAAGGAGTCCCATGTGGTCTGGGATGGGGAGGTCACGTGGTCTCGTGGGCCCAGTTCTCAGGGCTCCGCACTCGGGGCCTGTCCCAAGTCCCTTCTCCCTTGGTCCCTGTGGGCCTCCTCCCAGAGGGCAGGGAGCCTGGGCCCCGCCAGGCAGGTCTCAGTGGACCCTCAGCTCAGGCGGGGGGGATTTTCTGCCTCTGACACATCCCTGAGCAGGTGTGACCGCCAGCAGCACCAGTCCCCGAGTCCCTGAGTCCCCAGACAGAGGCCCCTGGGGGCTGCTTCAGGTCCTCGACAGCTTCATGCATGACGTGGAAAGCCACGAGCTGTCTGCTGGTGGTCGGGGAGCTCAGCGCGCAGGGGCGGCCCTCAGCCAGGCCCACTCTCCCCAGGGCTGGACTTGCTGCCGCTCTGCGTGACGTTCCTGCTGTGCTTCTGGGAGGTCCAGTATGGCATCCTGGCCGGGACCCTGGTGTCGGCGCTGATTCTCCTGCACTCCGTGGCCAGACCCAACGTGCAGGTGCCAGCCCACCCGGGCTCCCCGAGGGGACTCCCTGGCCTCAGGCCCAGAGGATGAGAGGGTGCTGGGCAGGACGCTCGGCTCTGCGTCTTGAGCTTCCACTGTGATTGTGGCCTGTGGCTGCTGAGGGACCGTTCACCTAGTGGACGGGAGTGACCCTCTCGTTATAAAGCACAGAGCCCTCCTGATGCATGGGGGGGGCATGGTGGGGTGAGGGCTTCTGCCAGCTCTGCACCCCCACTGCCTCCAAGCCTGGCAGAGCTTCCCCACCTGACTTGCCTCCAGGACTCACTGGCATCGCCCCTCCCACTGTCCCCAGGTGTCTGAGGGTCCAGCGCTGGTCCTGCAGCCAGCCAGCGGCCTGCACTTCCCTGCAGTTGAGACCCTCCGGGAGGCGATAGAAACCCAGGCTCTGGGAGGTACGTGGGCCAGGGCGGGGCTGGCTGTGGCCACTGCCGAGCTCCCCGCCACGCTCTCTGCATCCAGTCTGCTCCTGCAGGACCCCAAGGCCCTGCCCTCGGTGGTCAGGGAGTCCAGGAGGTCTGAGGTCTGGGGGTGTCTCAGCACCATCCCCCATGGCCAGGTCTGCCCCTCTCATTCCAGTGGCTGCCCATTGTCTACGTGCAGCCAGGTGGCTGTTCCCCAGCATTTGTCCCCAAGGACACACTCCTTCTGGGAGTTGATATTTCAGGAGAAAAAGGGTCTGTTTTCCCTCTAAAGCGAATCGCTGCTGTCTTGGGCCCCCTGACCCCTTCCCGCTGGGGGATGGAGGTCTCGATGGCCTTGCTCTGCCGCGCGCCTCCTGCCAGGGCCGCCTCTGCCTGGTGTGACCCGGCACGTGCCTGTCTCTGCAGCATCACCTCCACGCTGTGCGGTCCTGGAGTGCAGCCACGTCTGCAGCATCGACTACACGGTCGTGCTGGGGCTCGGGGAGCTCCTGGAAGACTTCCAGAGGCGGGGCGTCACCCTCGCCTTTGTCGGCCTGCAGGTGGGTGTCCCAACACAGCTGGCGCTTGTCACTCTCAAACCAGCCTGTGAGGTCAGCGTTATCATCATCCCCATGTTGAGACAAGGGTGAGGAGGCCCAGAGAAGCGGAGTAATCTGCCCGAGGTCACACAGCGGGGATGGCGGCCCAGGCTTCGGACTCGCGGCATCTGACTGCAGAGCTTTGTTCGTAACCGTTACATTCCGTGGCGTCTTTGCGGGGCACTCATTTGTGTGCTTTGGAGAGTATTTATTGAAACAATATTCCTCTTCCAGCATTTCCCGAGACCTGCTTGTCTCTCCGTTTCCCTGGGTGGCAGGGAAGTGGTACCTTCCCAGAGACTCGGATGAAGCCTGTGACGAGGCCGCTGGCGGTGGGGCTGGGAGACCATGTGTCACAGCAGGAGCAGCCCTGCCTGGAATTCACATGTGTCTGTTCCTCAGGTCCCCGTTCTCCATGTCCTGCTGTCTGCTGACCTGAAGGGCGTCCTGTACTTCTCCACCCTGGAAGAAGCAGGTGGGTGCAGGCAGGCACTGGAGAGGGCGGAGACCGCCTGTGTGCCCACACCCTGCAGGGTCAGCGTGGTGGACAGAGCCCTGGGAGAGCGGAGGGGCGGACGCTCGAGTCCGAAAGTGGGGAGCGTGAGGATGGTGGGTGGGCAGTGCGCACTGGTGCTGGGGCTTTATTTTTTAGGGGTGTGCATGTCTTTAGTTGAGGTTCAGCTCATAGGCAGTGGAATGCACAGAGCTTAATTGTCAGTTGGCTTTTGACAGATAGGTCCAGCTGGCATCCACTAGTCAGGATATAGAACGTTTCCATCATTCCAGAAAGTTCCCTCGTCCCCTGTCCAGTGACCCCCACGAGGGGTGGCCTCTGTTCTGTTTCCTCCGCCATGGTTAGCGCTGCCTCTTCTAGAACTTCTGACCGATGGGGTCACAGGACTCTCTGGGTCCGGCTCCTTCAGCTCAGCGTGTGTCAGACTCGCCCATGTTGTTGCTGGAAGCGGCTCGGTGCTGACCCCAGAAGGTGGGTGAGGTAACAGTTCCCCAGCCGCAGGATGGAGCCCACGCAGCCATCAGACAGGGTCACTGTGGGCGGAAAGGGGTGCACTGCTGGCAGGGACACGGGTGAAACCTGGGCCGGCTGGCATACAGCCCAGGGATCGCAGCTCTCTGTGCACCAGGACCCTGAAATGCCAGCCTTTCATCACGTCCTGTGAGCTGAGCCATCCTCACTTCCACTCTTTTAGTGCTTTGTCTCCCTACCTTGTCTTTTCTGCAGAGAAATACCTGAATCAGGAACCGGAGCCCCCGCCCTACAACATCAGGGACGATTCTGTCCCAGAACATAAGGTCGCCCTGTTGAAGGCCTGACTGGGCAACTGGTGGGCGCACGGTGTTTGGACTGCCTCGCAGAAGGTCCTTGTCACTGTGGAGCCGGGTGCTGCCTTGTAAATGCGCTGGCTTGAAGGTCTGAGGAAGCTGGGGCAGGTGACCCCGGGGGAGGGAGAGGGACCGGGCGACCAGGCCCATAGGTGGGCCTCCCGGACTTCCTCCAGGGTGATTGAACAGTCACCTCCCTACCGTTCCGGGGAGCAAGACCTCTTCTTAAGAGTGGTCTGGAGAGAACCTTCTAGAATGACAGACCATGGGAGAAGGGAAGGAGCAGGGACTTCAGCCTGGTTGCGGGGGGCAGTCTTTGCAGCCCAGCACCTTCCTGGGTTGTGGGGGAAGGAAGTGGGGTCGGGGGTCGCAGAGGTGGGTTCCGATCCTGATGGCGGCATCTGTGCTGTTCTGGGATGAAAACCAAGGTGTGCCAAATGATTCAAAGTGTCTGCTAAAAATGATTTTGTTGCGTTTTTTAAAGTTAAAAGTCATAGCTTTGGTGTTTTTGTGAAAGTCATAAATGGCTTATTGTAAAAACTACAGGAGACCATCCCTCCCAGGCCACATGGGTCAGTGTTGGCCCTGGACCCCTCCCTCCAGTACGTGTACGTGCCTCTACGTTAGCACGTGGTGTGTGTTCAGTCTCACGTAAGTGGGATCACGTCATCCATGGTGCTCTGTAACCCACATTTCTATGCAGTCAGTACTGTGAATTATTTATTGTAATAATAAATAGAGAAGACGTGATTCTTCATGGCTGCCTGGCATTTTGTTCTGTGCACGTGTCCTAATTTACTTGGTGGGTCTCTGCATGTGGACGCATGCTTTAAATTTCACCTCAGTCTTTACAGGTAAACCCCTTCACGTGTCACGCTGAGGGCTGTGCCCCTGGACTGGCTTTGAGAAAGGGCTCACTGTGCACCATGGCCCACCAGGGTCCCCGCTGAGCCCCGTTCTGCCCAGCTGCCCCAGCCAATATCTATTTTTTTATTATTATTATTTTTAGTTGAGCCATCCTGCCACCTGTTGGCAGCTCAGCTCGGGCCAGGAATAGAACCGGCGACCCTGTTGCTCAGAGCTCAAACTCTTGAGCGAGCTCTTAACCAACTGAGCCACTCGGCCGGCCCCCAGCCAATATCTGAGCACCGTGAGGGTACAGGCTGCCCTTAAGACTCGAGTCTTTTCCGGATTCCCATCCCCCGCCTCCTGGTCTCTCTCTCTCTCTCTCTCTCTCTCTCTCTGTCCAGGCCCCTGACCAGCCAGCTGAACCATCCCCCCGCCTGAGTCTGCATGTCCTAACCTCAAGCAGCTTCTCTTTCCGCACAAAGTGAGCGTGTCCTGAGGCTCTGCCCTTGGGGCCCCCTGCCCAGGGCCTAGGGGAGCAGCGGTCCAATTGTGGCCTGCGCCCACACACTAAGCCCAGCCGTTCTGGACTGAGAGCTCGTCCCATTCACGGAGCTGGGCAGATGGACCCTCTGTGGCAGGACCTCGCGCTATCAGCCTCATCTGCGACGCACACCCTCCGCGAAGCAGGTCTGCTTCTTGGACCCACGCTCACAAAACGGCTCGTCTTCCGGGAAGCAGGCCCAGGGATGTTGATCACGACCTCGTTAGTAAGTTTAGAAAATGGAAGCGACCTAAGTGTCTCTGTACTTGGGAAAGTCTTAACCACAGAACACGCAAACTGTTTACGACCTGGAAGGAGTTTAGAATTTGGTGTCAAGATGCAGGATGGGTTCTGCCATCTTCCCACGTCAGTCAGACACGCTCTGTGAGCCGTGGTCTACAAGCCAGGGACCTATGTGACTGTGTTGATGATATGGTGGATTAAACTCTCCCATTGGCTGGTGTGGTGCTCACAGCTGACCGAAGAGGTAATGATGTCACCGACACCACTGCATTTCCCAGCCTCCCTGTACTGAGTACGGCCGGGTGACGACAGCTGGTCAGGGGTGTCTGTTGTGAGTTGCATTGTGTCCCGCCCCCCACAGTTCATATGCTGAGTCCTAACCCCCAGGACCTCAGAATGGGACCTTATGTGGAAATGGGGTCCTTGTAGACGAAATCAGTTAAGACGTCATACTGGAGTAGGGTGGCCCCTCATCCATTGGCTGGTGTCCTTATGAAAAGGGAAGCAGGCCTGTGAGGTCGTGTCACGTCCAGCGTGGCAAGGGCAAATGGGTCTCGAGAGGAGAGACGCAGATTGAATAAAGTCAAGAGACAAAAGTTAGATTTGAGGGAGACCAAGGGACTCAGCCAGAGAAGACTGAGCCCCGAATCGGTCAGCGCATGGTTTTTATTAAGAATTTTCAAAGAGGTAAAACTGCTGTCAGTCAATTAGCAACCATGTGTGATTTGTGAGCCTTAAGGCCTCTTTCCATTAACATATTCCATTGTGTTCCAGTAAATCCTATGCCTTCACACTTCCCGCCACATAGCCCCAGGACACTTGTTACTGTGTCCTCCCAGGGGAGATAACTATTATCATTCCAATAGGTCCCAGTCACCTGAGACACTCCCCAGAGAGAGCTTTACTGGCCTCCGGTCATACCGAGGCACTCCCTCCTAACTGATAGGGTTAGAGGCTAATGCAGGGGGGGTGGTATTGGAATCGGCTATAATGCAACAAGGTCGGAGGCAGAGATGGGGTGATGCTCCCACGACAGGGAACATCAGAGATTGCCAGCCAACCACCAGAAGCCAGGAGGCGGCCCGAGAGCGGATTCTCCCCTCACAGCCTCACGCGTCAGCCCTCAGAAGGAGCCACCCCGACCCACACCTGGATCTGTGACCCTGGCCCTCAGAACTGTGACACAGTAAATGCCTGTTGGTTAAGCCCCCCAGTGCACGCGGCTTCGTGACAGCAGCCCCGACAAGCTCATCCAGGAGATGAGGACTGGTGTGCTGCTTCTAAGCCTGACCCTTGAATGAAACCTTTCATGCTCTCTCCTCCAAGCTCTTAGCCCCTTTCTGGCCGGCTGGCACAGAGGTGACCTCCTGCTGCCCTTGGAAGCCACATACTGAGAATGGTAGTTGGGTCAGCTGGGGTGGTAGGGGCACCTGTGCCCTGTACACTGGCCAGCAGTGTCACGTGGGGCAGAAGCATGCTCTGAAGGCATCCTTGTTACAGCGGAGCCCTGGCTACACAGGTGATAATGTGAAACAGAACCTTCAACAGAAAGGCAGTGCAAACCACACATGGGAGCCCCAGGGAGCTGTTTCTAAGAGCCATATTGACAAACAGAAGAGACAAGTGAAATTAACATGCATAGCTCATTCAACCCATTAACCCCAAATTCTATTTTTTCCACATGTAATCTACATAAAACTTACCAATGAGATATATATATATTTTTTCTTTCGGTACCAAATCTCTGAAACCTGGTGTGAACTGAACACTCAAAGCTCATGCCAGCTCAATGTCACCTGAGTCATGGAGTCATGTAGCTGCCCTATCAGACCACCCAGGTCTGGAATGTTCCAATCGAACACGGTTGGGAAGTTACACGTTTCTCTGAGCTCATGCCTGTGTGTGTCTCCACTCGAAGTCTGGAGGGAGTTGTGAGAAGCTCGGAAAGGCACGACGGGCTCGGAGAGAATGCGTTTGATCCCAGCTGTCCTGATTTCTCAGCAGGAGACGTTGAGCAAATTGTCTCTGATGCTTCTGCACCCCCAAGAGGTGGTTGCACAGCTTAAAGGGAGGAGAAGGCTAAGGGCTTGCTGCATAGTCGCTGCTGTTGTGAACGGGACCTGCGTACATTATGTTTGTCCCCCCTGCTCATCCCACCTCTGTCCTGCATGTAATCTACATAAAACTTGCCCGTTATTGTGAGGACGTCCTGCAAGGAATCAGGGGGCAGGGCTCAAACCTGTCTCCTGGATCCGGGGTTCGGTTTTAAGGGGTTTCAGCACCGGGTCTTCCTGGACAGCAGACCCTGCACTTCTGAAAGGGTCCCAGTGTTCAGGTTCCCCTCATGTTCCGGTCCTGTGGTTCCATGGGGGGAGCAGTTAAGGGTCATAAGTGTCCCTCGTGAGCGGTGTTCACAGGTGTTACTTGTAAGTGGGGGTTGTTGCCTGACAGCCGATTCCTATACCACGCCCCCCTGCATTAGCCTCTAACCCTATTAGTTAGGAGGGAAACGTCTCGGTATGACCGGAGTGTCTCAGATGTGACTGGGACCTGTTGGAATGATAACAGTCATCTCCCCTGGGAGGACACAGTAACAAGGTGTCCTGGGGCTATGTGGCGGATGTGTGAAGGCATAGGATTAGTTGGAACACAATGGGATATGTTAATGGAAAAGCTTTAAGGCCCAAACCTCAAACAGATGCTAAATTGATTGACAGCAGTTTTACTTCTTTGAAAATTCTCATTAAAAGCCATGCGCTGACCCGATTCGGGGCTCTGTCTTCTCTGGCTGAGTCCCTTGGTCTTGCTCAAATCTTACTTTTGTCTCTTTACTTTATTCAATCTGCGTCGCCCCTCTCGAGAGACCCGTTTGCCCTTGCCACGCTGGACGTGACAGGGGGTCTTGTTAGAAACAGGATAGGGCCAGTTTGAACTGGTTCTGCGGTTATACAGACAGGGTCCACAAGCTGCCACTGCCCCTTAGAGCACACACAGGAGGTGCCACTCAGCCTTGATGGGGTCTGGGTTTTGGCCTATGCTACACTGGACACAGCTGAGCTCTGTGGGTGCCCCCCCCAAGCCTACCAGGTGGCAGTGACAGTTTGGGGCAGGGTTGGGCTCTCCCTTCACTTGAGGTGCCTGCGGAGGAATCCCATCGTTAGTGTATTTGAGTTCTGGGCTCTGACAGAGCCCGCTGGGTCCTAACAGTCGTGGATGTGGCCCGGATCCCAGATGAAATAGATAGTGGGGTGGCTGGTTGTGCATTGGGGTTTGTGCCTGTGCAGGCTGCCAACGTCTACAAGATAATGCCGGGTGACTCATGCTACGTGCCGCCTAAGCACTGCCCAGGCTCAGACATGGATGCTAGGATGGAATAGCCAGGAGAAGGCATTCTGCAAGGGGCGGCCACATGGGAGGGGAACCCCAAGAGGGACCGAGCTTGCTGTTTGAATCCCAGAGGATGGACAGCAAGACTGGACTGTGTGGGCAAGAGGGTCAGAGAGGTGAGCGGGGCAGGAACCAAGCCTTTTTAATTAATAGCGATCATCCTGTAATTTGAAGCAGCACATGGGCCGGTGCCAGGCTTCTCACGAGTGCCTTCAGGCTGTGCTGGTTGGGAGGGGAGAGGACAGTGAGGAGATAATAAGAATATACACAGGGCACTTTGCCTGTGGCCCGGAACATCAGCATGTGCTGTATTATTATCATTTTCACTGTTATTATTAAATTCTCCAGCAGCCTTAGGATGCGGGACTAACCTCGCAGGTGAAGGAACTGAGGCGTGGAGCAGGAGGGCGTGCACGCAGACCCAGACCGGGTGGCCCCTTGGTTATCAGTGACCAAGCAGCCCTGAGAGTGCGCAGCAAGCCTCCACCGCCATCCTCACTGTGGCCACTCCATCCTCACCAGGCCCCCATGCCGTGGGGCTGGTGACCTCCACTTTGCACCCAAGTGGCCTGAAGCTCAGCCAAATGACCTGCCTCGCATTTTCCGGGCCACTCCGCGGCTGGCTGTTGGCTCAGCACGGTCGTGGACGGCGTACAGGGTGCTGGGCCCTGGGCTGGGGGGCCGGCGCGCATCACCGCCCCGGCCACCGAGGGCTACGCGGCTCGGCCCCGGGGTACGGGGACGGCTTGGGGAGACCCAGTCGCGCGCGGCCCGGCCCGGCCCGAGTCCGGGATCCCCTGCACCCCGCCCCGCGAACAGCCGCAGGAGGCGCCGGTCCACTGGGGGGCGCCAACCCTCCGGGGAATTCCGGCCACAGCCGCGCGGGTCCCGCTGCGGCGCGAGAGGCGGGAGGGGCGGGGCCCGGGAGACGGA